CCTCCAAAAAATGGGATTTTATTATAAAAATGAGGTAGGTTCACAGAACTGATTCAAAAATATGTCTTATATTAAGCCAGGTGCCCAGTATTACAGTCTGAGCCCCTTCTAGGGGGTGGAATTCGGGGCTGGACCATAACGGGCTGGTCTTCCCTGAATTCCCAGGAGGGAATTCAAAGGGAAGAAATAAGGAATTCTACCTTTATGCTTTATACACTTTTACGCAGTATGAATTTTTAACTTGATGTTCTTGTGGTGTTAAAGGAAACCTACCCCCAGAACACACGGCTGTGATCCACTACAAGGAGAGATGGGATGAGCTGTCAGATAGACGCTGTGGCCCGGACCCAGCCGGAATCCAGGGAAGACCAGCCCTAAGGCGCCGTGGGCAGAGGCCGGGTGGGGAGGGGCGTCTCTCTCCTCCCCTGCGCCCCAAACCTGCTTTTCCAGCCGCCTCAACCCTCCAAGCAAACGCGGACGGCCCCTTTCAGAAGGAGCTGCACACCTGAACCAATGCAAATATCGTTGACTGTGAACTAATGGAAACATCAAAACCTTTAAAAAGAAGGAAATCTTGCAACTCCATCGCCGGGAAGAATGGGTAACGTTTGTTGTGCGCCTGAAAGCTCCGCGGTGGAAAGAGGACAAGAGGTGACAGCCGGTGGGGAAGAAGCGCCAGCCGGGAGGAAGGGCCTGGCCAGGGCCTGTTAAGAAGAGGGACTCACCGCCGGAACCGGTGTGGCTCAGTGGATAGAGCGTCGGCCTGCGGACTGAAAGGTCCCGGGTTCGATTCCGGCCAAGGGCATGGACCTTGGTTGCGGGCACAGCCCCGGTGGGAGGTGTGCAGGAGACGGCTGGTCGATGTTTCTAACTATCTCTCTCCCTTCCTCTCTGTAAAAACTTAATAAAATATACATTTTAAAAAGAAGAAGAGGGACTGACAACAATAAAGACTTCACTTTTTTTAAATCTTCAAAAAAAGAAAGAGGGCGTGAGGACAGGCAGGCGGGCTGAGAGAGGGTAATCACGCCTCGAAGAAGCAAACGCTGGTGACGGCCATTCCGATGGGAGGCTTCCCCCACACCCGCCGTGTGTGTGTCTCTCTCTCACCCACACACACCCCGCCTGTGTCACACACACACACCCCGCCGTGTGACTGACACACACACACACACACACACACACACACACCCCGCCGTGTGACTGACACACACACACACACCCCGCCGTGTGACTGACACACACACACACACACACACACACACACCGCCTGTGTCACACACACACACACACACACACACACACACACACACACCCCGCCTGTGTCTCACACACACACACACACACACACACACACACACACACACACAGGCCCGGCACTCTCCGCCATGAGTTCCCTTCAGATGTTTTCACTCGGAAGCCCAGGTGCTCCCGTAACCGCACGCCCTCCCGTCCGGGCCCCGGCCTCCCCGCCCCGCACCGGGCACCGCGCACCGGGCACCGCGCACCGGGGACCCCGCACCGCGGACCCCGCACCGGGCACCCCGCACCGGGCGCCCCGCACCGGGCACCCCGCACCGGGCACCCCGCACCGGGAAGGCCGCCCGGCCCCGGCGCCGCTCCGGCGTGGGGAGGCCCCGCGCTGACAGCGCCCCGCACCGGCTGGGGCCCGGCACCGGCGGGAGGGGCCGGGGCCACGGAGCCTGAGCCGCCCGCGCGGCCGGCCCGGTCCTCCCGCCGCAAACCTCCCGGACCCCCGCCCGGAGGCCGCTCCCCGGGCCCCGCCGCCCGCCGCCGCCCGGCCCCGCCCGCCCGCACTCACCGGCCGCCCGCCGCCCGCCGCCCGCCGCCCGGGAGGCCTGCGCCCGCCGCGCCTCCTCAGCCCGGCCGAGCCCCGGGCGGCGCGAGGGCGGGGCGCGGCGACGCGGCGCTCCGCAGCGACCAATCGGCGCGCGGCAGGTGATGCGCCGGGGCGGGGCCAGGCGCCGGGGCGGGGCTCTGGGGCGGGTCATGACGTCGCGTAGGGCGACCTCCGGCGGCCGCACAGGCCCGTCCCTCGCGCGACCCCCGGCAAACAGCCAGCTGCCCCCCGCCTGGTCGCCCCCCGCAGCCCGCTGCTCAGTGGTTGGCCGGCCCTCGCTAACCGCCCTGCCAGCTTCGTCGCCCCTGCGGCCTGCTGCTGGGTGGTCACTGTGAGCATCCTGACCGGTTTGCATTTCGCTCTTTTGAGTGTAGATGTAATTCTGTCCCAGGCTTGGGTGGCTGCAAACGCACCCTTCACCCGCACCCATGTCTGGTGGGATGTTTCATGGTGGCAGGACATGGAGAAATTCTCCTTTGGCTCGACCGCACTGTGCATTGTGAGCACCCTGCCTCCCTGGCCCCACCTCCTAAATGGGGTGATGCTCAAAACACTGACCAACCAATCAGAACGGATGCCAGCATCGTCCTGTGCAATGAATGGGCTAATGGAAGCTCTTCCTCTCTGACCACACGGTCAGCCTAGGATTCCCCCGCCATTCCCCACATGTCCTCTAGAGGGCAGTACGCCTCCGCTGACAACCACCAAGACCCCAGGCTGCACCCGCCTCTCCGGTTCACCTCTGAGGATTACAGCAGCCCTGCAGGTGGGATCTGAGGGCCCTCCTCTGTCAGCGAGGAGAGGGGCGCCGGGGAGGTCCACAGAACCAGTGAACGCAAAACCTGGATCGAAACGCCATCTCCCTGGCTCCAAGCCATCTCCCTGGCTCCAAGCCGTTGGCTTCCCCTGCATCACCCTGACCTTCCCGGAGCTCACTGAGTTAGGGTTTCAGAGAGGAAGGGAGAGGGAGGGAGAGAGAGAGAGAGAGAGAGAAACATCAGTGATGATGAGGGAGTCCTGCATGCCCTACACTGGGGATCCAGCCCACAACCTGTGCCCTGACCGGGAATGGAACCTGTGATCTCCTGGTTCATAGGTCAACGCTCAACCACTGAGTCACATCAGCTGGGCCAGAATTAACTTCTTAACAAGAATAATCCATGTCACTGTCAGTTTTGATATCATCCATCTGATTTTTTTAAAATATATTTTTATTGATTTTTTACAGAGAGGGAGAGAGATGGAGAGCTAGAAACGTCAATGAGAAACACCGACCAGCTGCCTCTTGCACACCCCCTACTGAGGATGTGCCCGCAACCAATGTACATGCCCCTGACTGGAATCGAACCTGGGACCTTTCAGTCCGCAGACCGACACTCTATCCACTGAACCAAACCGGTTTCAGCTGAAAGGTGTTTTTTTTGTTTGTTTGTTTTTGTTTTTAAAGCATTTAGGTGATCAGCCAAAAATATGGTTGTTATTATTTTTAAAATCTTTATTGTTGCAAGTGTTCCATATGCCCTCTCTTTTCTCCACATTGACCCCTTCTAGTCCGCCCCGCCCCAGGGGTTATTATTATTAGCTGTTTATGTAACAGTGGACCATGGTATAACCGTGAAAATTAACTTTATTAACATTTACAAATATAAAGTGTGCTGTGCTGGGATTAAGGATTCACCAGTCTTCTAATCACTTCACCCTCCCATCATCCAATGCTGAAAGTGCTTTCCTGTCTTATGTTCCTTCAATGCAAGTGGGAGTCACACAGGGAATTCCCTTTTTGGCAAGACTCACAGAGGCACAGCCTTCTCCATCTCCCGGCACTTAGCCCTCTTTAAAAGCTATCCTCGTGTGTTGGGCTGGTCACCATTTTGTTTAGAGTAACGCGATCATTCTAGAAGCCAAATAACTCATCAACAGAATCATCACACACTATAGCAATCAGTGCCCATCTCTAAGCAAAAGGGCCGGAGATTTCCTTTTGAAGATGCAGTTTTAATGATCACGTGTCACAGGAGAGCTGGTGTTCACACACCAGATGGCCCGTGCCACGCTCCGAACCGCACCCAGAACGCAGCGCTCTGGGGTAGGCGAGGCCATGACCTGCTCCTTTTGGCCACCCTCCCGACCCGTTTGCCCCATACGGACCTCAGAAAGTCAGCTTTTCTTACAATGGACGGGACACAGCCACCTGACGAATGTCAAACTCGTGTCATTTGCCAAAGGTGCAATGACAAAGGTTCAGACATCTCAAGGCAGGAAACGGAGGTTTCCATGTGGCTGACAAAGGCGCTGGGAGTCCCGCACCTGACAGAGACAGGCCAGGTCCGTGCATGCAAACACATCACCTGAGTCTCTGAGAGAGAGGAAGCGGAGTGAAATCATACGCTTCCGCTGAGCCCAGGGGCTTTTCACTCCGGGAAGACCAGAATAAGCAGTCAAACTCTCTCCAGCGGACACAGGGACCTAGTTCTAGAATAGCTGTGTCACCAGCGTGGCCAGGCCCTTTCTGCAGCCAATGGATGGTGAAGTTGGGGAGGAGAAAGTACAACCCAGATATACTTTTTAGAATTCAGTGCCACAGACAAGACCTTTCTAAGGAAAAGCAGTGACTCCCGAGGCTGAGGCCCTCATCTTAACACTTCCATCCACGGGGTCTCAAAGCCGTACAACTGTTTTGAGCTTTGATAACCCAGCTGCCTGCATTCTGGTTCCGGCTGGTGACTTGTGTGTGTTGGGTTTGTTGTTGTTGTTGAAGTGCCGGTGTTTGAAGCTGGCAAATGCAACGGGTTTGAAGGTGTTAGAGTAAATCTGCACTCCGAGGTTTGGTATTCCTTCACCATTCCCAGCCCAAACACATCTCACCCGATGACTGACAACTGAACTAGGATATGGATTACATTGTTTTCTGAGGGCGTCTCTTCTTCCCTTGCTCTTTTCCCAGAGCAAAGCTGGCTGAGCCTTTCTGTGACAGTCTCTCCCAGCTTCCTCCTTACACTTCACAGGAGCTGTGATCAGTTCTGTGAGAAGTACGGCACACGGTTCTACCCGCCTGTGTCACAGCCACACCTCCAGCCTCTGTGTGCGATGTCAGCCCAGCTGAGGATGGTGTGGGGCGGGCCTGTGAGCGGTGAGAGGGTCAGGTTTTAATGAATTTCCACATATTCATCCAGTTGAAAAAGCCTGTCTTGACTCCAGGTGTTCTCTCCCCTTCGCCCTGATCAATGCTGCTTGGGCTTCCCTCTGAGACTTCTTTGGATTTGATAAGGGCCTCATACGTTTCCTGGGCTCTTGCGATTTCTTTCTGCGCGTCAAAATGGACTTTCTGCCTGGTCAGGAGGGGAACGATCAAATTAAAATCGTTCACGCGCTTGTTTAGCTTCCTGATGTCTTCCCGAAACTGCTCACACGCTTGGTCCCACTGTTTCTGCTCAGTGGGCGTCATGGGGTTCCCCAGTTTCTTCCTGGACGCTACCATGGACGCTCGGAGCTGATCAATGGTGTCCTTTATCTCCTTTTGCATCAGGATCCATTCAGGTTGGTAGCCGTTATCTATCAATATTCTGTTCAGGTTGTGAGTCATGGGATCAATATACGAACAGCCAGCAAATTTCTGGAGAGGTTTCCCTTTCCCGCTGAGGTTATCAAAGTCTCCCCTGGCCATGGACTCCTGAATGAGATCCTCCACCAGACGTTCTATTGCTTGCGTTATCTTCTGTTCTTTACTCTGCCTCACGTCTTTGACAGTTAAGCCTTCAGGGAAGTACTGGCTATGCAGCTTCTGCTTTTGATATTCCAGCACTTGCTCGGCGGCACGGTCCGCTCTGAACTGCCTGTACTGCTTCTCTCGTTGGCTCGGAGTCCCAAAGCCAATCCCTTCGAAACTTAAGTAATGCCTGTGCTGGGGTGCTTTGTATTTGGAGTCTTCTTCCTCGTCCTCCGCATCTTCCATTTTCTTCCGCCTGGCGTCTGCTTCTTGCATCACGTGGGAGCGTACCGCCCTGTACGCCTCTTCGATCTTTATAAACGTTGCAGAATCCGCCGTGGGAGAGCCACTGTCGGGATGGTACTGCTTGGCGAGCTTCCGGAAAGATTCCCTGACATCGTCGGCGGAGCATCCTTCTTCCAGATTCAGCCGCCGGTAATATTCCCTCATCTTCTTTGGTGACTTATGAGTGGACATCATCCTACTTCTGACGACTCCAAGAGATGGAAGCATGTTTATTCGATGACGAATCATTGCAGCCAGTATCAGATGAGATCCTAAGAGTTGAGCCATCATCACGTACAGGTGCTGATGATCACGCCCAGAGTTCTTCCTAGTGATGATCTATAAAATGACAACACACAAAGGGGACGAGAGTGGGATGATCTAATTTCATATTTTCAGCAACAAGGAAGAAATTGCAAGCACAGTATGGAGCAATTCTTCCTAAGCCAGCTGCCAACATTCTTTTTAAAAATATATATATAATTTATTTTTTTTTTACAGAGAGGAAGAGTTAGAAACATCGATGAGAGAGAAACATCAATCAGCTGCCTCCTGCATACCCCCTACTGAGGATGTGCCCACAACCCAGGACCATGCCCTTGACCGGAATCGAACTTGGGACCCTTAAGTCTGCAGGCTGACACTCTATCCACTGAGCCAAACTGGTCAGGCTGCCAACAATCTTCTAGCTATATTTCACTAATGTTAGAAGAGAAATGGAAGTTGATGATGTCTAGCGTTAACACATTGTGATACAATCTGGTTCTACTCACTCAGCTCAGAATTTTAGAGCAGGCAAGTTCTCAGAGATCAACTAATCCAGTCTCCTATTTTTTTTTTTTTTTTAAGATATTTTATTGATTTTGTACAGAGAGGAAGGGAGAGAGATAGAGAGTCAGAAACATCAATGAGAGAGAGTCATCGATCAGCTGCCTCTTGCACACCCCCCACTGGGGATGTGCCCGCAACCATGATACATGCCCTTGACCGGAATCGAACCCGGGACCTTTCAGTCCCCAAGCCGACGCTCTATCCATTGAGCCAAACCGGTCCCGGCTCCAGTCTCCTATTTTTAAGAGAAAATGTAAGCCCAGAAGGTTAAGCAGCATAACCAAGTGGCATAACAAGCATAGTGTGAGCCAAATGGTTAGGGTTAGGGCACCCTCCAGTGTTTGGCCCAGCCGCCTGGGGGAGCCGCAACCTATGGACCAGGAGGTCGGGAGGATTCCCTTCAGGGCACGTGCCCATTGATGTTCCTACCGCTCACTCTCCCTTCCTCTCTAAGAATCAATAAAAATAAAGTTAAAAGAATGTCTGTCTGCGTCCCCGGCTGGCGATAAACTTCAGCACCACTGTTTCCTTGGTGTTGGACCGTGTCACCACCTCAAGGACGATGACAGACTCACACACAGGACCCGGAGGAGGACGAGGCGGCCTGCAGCTAGGGGGCTGACACGGGGTGGAATGAATGAATGGGGCACCCCGCCCTCATCGCTGGGCTCGTCAGGAAGGAGCCGAGCAAATGGGGAGCCCCCCGCCCCCCGGCCTGTCAGCTGTTACGTAAAAGCACGGCGCGCGCAGGAGAGAGACGGGACTCGGCCATGGCAGTGCCGCGGGCAGAGGCATGACCCTAAGGGGCATCTGAGGTGTGAACGCGGACCTGAGCCGGGACCCACCTTTCCGGGCACCTGGGGTCCAGGGCTTCCGGAGCGGCTGGGAGGCGGTGGCAGCGCCAACGGGGTCGCCGCGGGGGAGCGTCAATCCCCACGCGGGACACGCCCCGCGCGTCCCCCCTCACCTTCCCCGCCGCGGGGTAGGGGCTGCGCGGCTTCCGCCCCCACGCCGCTCTCCGCGCATGCGCGCGCCGGCTGCCCTCCCCCTCCCCGGAGCCTCCGCGCGCGGCCGGGGTCTCCTCGGGCCAGACCATGTGCCCTTTCACACTGAGGGGACCTGCGAGGCGGCGGGGGGGCCGAGTCGTCCTTAGCCGGGACAGGTGTCCTACCTTCCCGGGATCCCAAGGTCCCCCTCTCAACGGATTTTACCACGAGGACACAGGCAGGACATTTCAGGAGGTCGGTCCCGCCCCGGGGCGACCTGGTCCACCTCCCCCCCCACCGCGAGCGGGAGGTGGTCCGGCCGATTGGGATTGTGGGAGTTGTAGTTTGCGGGGAAGTGCGACGCGCCCTGGTCGCCACAGTGCGCCTGCGCCTCCGCCTCCTGTGAGATTGGTGGGGGGAGGGAGCCGGGTGTAGCGGAGCTGTGGGTGCCGCGGAGATGGAATAGGCGGAGGTGCGCAGGGCTCGTGCAGAGGGTGCAGAGCGTAGGTTGGGACCCTTGAAGTCTTTTTTGGGGGGTTGGTGGTGGAGGTATTGATTTCAGAGTGGAGGGGAGAGGAGAAAGGGAGGCATCAATGATTAAAGACTCACTGATGGGCTTCCTCCTGCATTATCAGAGCTCAAGCCGCAACCCAGGCATGCTGGGAAGCGAACCCCAACCTCCCTGGTTCATAGGAGACACGAAGACACGGAAGCCAGGCTTGAAGTATTTTTTTAAGTTATTGATTTTGAGAGAGAGACATGGGTTTGCTGTTCTGTTGTATTGTCAATAATCGAATGAGGTACAAGCCGCCTTCAGGAGCCAATTAATTAGGAGTCATTTATTGCTCGCGGCCCAGAGGGAGGTTCCCTCCAAATCTCTCAGCCCTGAAATAGAGGAAGTCTCCGTATTTATACTTTTCGAGCCTCTTTGTTTGCAGATATGAAAAAGGGCTCTGGCCGAGACCGGTTTGGCTCAATGGATAGAGCGTCGGCTTGGGGACTTAAGGGTCCCGGGTTCGATTCCGGTCAAGGGCATGTACCTCGGTTGCGGGCATATCCCCGGTAGGGAGTGTGCAAGAGGCAGCTGATCGATGACTCTCTCTCATCGATGTTTCTAGCTCTCTATCTCTCTCCCTTCCTCTCTGTACAAAATCAATAAAAATATATTTAAAAAAAAAAAAAAGAAAAAGGGCTCTGTGTGAGTTATTGTTACAGACCGTGTAACCTTGAATACATAATGAGTTAGTACTTGGCATAAGAATATGGGAATTATTATCAGTATTAAGTCTATTTTAGTCTTATTACATTGGATGGCTAGCTTGCAAGGTCAGACAGTTAAGTTTATCTTTTTCTGTTATTTGAACTAAAAACAAAGTTATTTTACAGAATGGCAGACTGTCTTAGGGTGACAGTTTATAATGACAGAGTGTACAGGACTAGGGACTATCTAACAATAGCAGGGAGTTTCAAACAGCAGTTTTTTATACAAGATGGAGGTCACTCTGCTTCAGTCCCACTTATTTATGCATTCATTGGTTGCTTCTTGTATGTACCCTGACCAGGATCCAACCCACAACTTTGGCGAATGGGGACAGATGCTCTAACCAGCTGGCTACCTGGCCAGGGCTGGGACCCTTGGCCTCAGTCACTGTTTTGGGGAGGGAGACGAGTCATTTCCCAGAACAGCCTCTCCGGGGCCTGCAGATGGGGACCTCTGCGCAGACACCACACAGATCTACCGAGTCCAGAAAGGTGTAGCCAAACCCGGCTGGATGCCCAGCCACCATCAGCTCACAAGTACTTAGTGAGCAGCTCGCTCAGCCAGGCGTTGGGACAGGCTGAGGACAGTCCAGCGCAAAGTCAAAACAGGGTTTTGTGGGGACTCCTGGCTTTAAGTGGGGACTTACTATGGGCAAGTAGTTAAAACAAGAAAAGAGCCCTGGCCAGTTTGGCTCAGTGGATAGAGCGTCAGCCTTGGGACTGAAAAGTCCCAGGTTCGATTCTGATCAAGGGCATGTACCTTGGTTACCGGCCCATCCCCAGTGGGGGGTGTGCAGGAGGCAGCTGATTCATGTTCCTCTCTCATCGATGTTTCTAACTCTGTCACTCTCCCTTCCTCTCTGTAAAAAAAATCAATAAAATATATTTTTAAAAAAACAAAACAGGGAAAGAAAAAGAAGCTTGGAAGTCAGACCTGGGTTTAAAATCCTCTTCTTTCATTTGCTTTTCTCTGTAAGATGAGAGCACCAGTCACTGGTCAACGAAGTGTATGTGGCACTTCGTTTTTGCCAGACATGGTGCCAAGAGCTTTGAAATATAGTCCAGCAATCCTTACAGCAGCCTTGGAGGCAAAGGTGCTGTTTCCCCACTTTCCATATGATGAAACAGTTGCACCAGACTCAGAGTTTTTGTGCCAGTTGCCATGATAGAAACCACTTGGCACCGTTTCTCACTGTGACTACGCCTCCTAGAAAAAGCCGGACTATGTCCTCGCTGTTGGGAGCTCCTGAGTGATAGACAACATAATAATGTGCTTTCTCTCTTTACAGCTTTACCTGCTGCTGCAGAGGGATTTCCTTACAGGCAAACAGCATACAAGTTCCTACAGGGGTTTACTCTCTTAGCGTCTTCAACCCGGCATTGGAAAGCACCCGTGCCGCTTACCACACACTCAGACCTGCGGGGTGCTTAGCATTTCACAAAGCTGCCAGCACAAATCTCATTTTGATGTCTGCATCTTATAAGTAACTCATTTAAGTTGTTAAATGGCAAAGCTAGAACTAGAATTGTAAGTCCATTTCTCTTTTCAGAGGATCAGTTTTGCTTTTTAAAAAAATGTTATTGATTTTTTTACAGAGAGGAAGGGAGATAGAGATAGAAACATCAATCAGCTGTCTCCTGCACGCCCCCTACTGGAGATCTGCCCACAACAAAGGTACGTGCCCTTGACCGGAATTGAACCTGGAACCCCCCAGTCCGCAGGGCTACGCTCCATCCACTGAGCCAAATTGGTTTCGGCAAGGATCAGTTTTTTATTATTATTTTGAATATGTCTTTATTGATTTTAGAGAGAGGAAGGGCGGGGGAGAGAAATATCCATGTGAGGGAGAAACATCTGTCACTTGTAGATGCCCCAACTGGGAATCAGACCTGCAAACTTCCGGTGCAGGGGATCATGCGCCATCAACTGAGCCACACCGGCCAGGGTAGGACTAACTTGAAATGAAAGTATGTTGGGTTAAATCAGCAATTCCCAACTGGTGTGCCACAAAAATTTTTAAAACATACACTGCCTATTTAGTCGGGTACTGACTTTAAAAAATTAAAAAAAAAAATACATTTGTATTGATTTTAGAGAGGAAGAGATAGAAATGTCAATGATGAATCATCCATTGGCCACCTCCCACACGCGTCCCATAACCAGAGGATGTGCCTTGACTGGAATTGAACCTGGGACCCTCCAGTCCGAAGCTCTATCCACTGAGCCAAACCAGCTAGGGTGGGTACTGACCTCTTTTCTCTTAGATTGTCAAATAAAAAAATGACAGCCAATACCACAATAGTCATCCGGTGTGAATGAGTCAAAATTATACCTATTTTTTTTCTCAGATTGGCAAAAATATATTTTTTAGTGTGCTGCAGGATTTTAGTAATTAGTTTATGTGTGCCATGAAATGCAAAAAGGGTTGAAAATCGATACTCATGACATTTCCTAGTTTAAAGTATCTTTTTTCGTAATCCTGTGTTCTCACAATGTAGTTGAGCGTTTTTTTTAAAGTAGCACACGATTTGATTTTTGTAAAATATATATTTTTAAATATATTTTATTGATTTTTTACAGAGAGGAAGAGAGAGCGATAGAGATAGAAACATCCATGAAAGAGAGAATCATTGATCAGCTGCCTCTTGCACACCCCCCACCGGGGATGTGCCCACAATCAACGTACATGCCCTTGACGGGAATTCGAACCTGGGACCTTTCAGTCCGAAGGCCGACGCTCTATCCACTGGCCACACCAGTCAGGGCTACTTTGAGTTTTTAAGCGTTAATTCACCACAGGTTCCAGGTAAGAGCGCGGCCTGTGTGTGGTACACAGGCTTGCCTGGCTTGAGAAAGAACGGCCACCAGATGGTCTCTCAAACAGTGGAGGTGGTAGCACCGTTTACATGGAAGGATGGGTCAAAAGCTGCCCGGAGAGTTAAGAAGCCAACTTAAATAAACTGTTTTGCCCTGGCCGGTTTGACTCAGTGGAGCATCAGCCTGGGGACTGAAGGGTCCCGGGTTCGATTCTGGTAAAGGGTACATGCCCAGGTCTCAGACTTCATCACCAGTGGAGGGTGTGCAGGAGGGAGCTGATTGATGATTCTCTCATCATTGATGTTTTTATCTCTCTCCCTCCCCCACTTCCTCTCTGAAATCAAGAATAATATATTTTAAAGAACTTAAGAAGATATAGAAACATCCATGATGAGAATAATGGATCAGCTGCCTCCTGCATTTCCCCTAGTGGGCCTGTGTCCTTGACAAGAATCAAATCTGTGATCCTTCAGTCCCCAGGCGGGCGCTCTAGCCACTGAGCTAAGCCGGCCAGGGCAGAAACTGGGCTTTTATGTATCTTCCTGAACCCCTTGCTGTTGCGACATCGCTTCAGCTGTGGGGCCAGACCTTTGTCCCGGGGGTGGGGGGAGGGGGCTGCCAAGCTTGGCACCCACTGTCAGGTGAGTGGCAGTGTGACCCCGGCTGAGGGCAGGTGGGTGACCTAAACATGGCCAATCAATCAGATGACCCTGCCTAGGACTTTAAGGCTGAATGATCGACCCAGAGGTACAGGCGACCAGTGTGTGGCCTATTTTTTTTCTTAGAAAAGCAGGAACTTACTGACCAAAGCAAACCCTCAGGACAGTGCAACAGGGTACAGAGGCAACAGGAGGCCCAGGCTGGGCTGCTCTGGCTCCAAGAAGTCAGAGGACTGGGGCCTTGGGACAAGGTCTGGGTGAGCCAGGACCTGCTGCCGCCAACCGCTCCCCTGGCTGCACATCTCCTGGGGCCCCTTGGAGGGTAGATGCGGCCTGGGGGAGGGGGAAGGTAGAGAAAGGTGTGGGCGTGCTCCTGCAGGGAGAGCTCACCAGAGCATCTGGCAGTGGGCAGCCACAGGCTGAGAGCCCCTGGGAAGTGGAGCCCGTAGGGTCCTTGCCAGGCTCTTCCTGGGGCACGGTTTGGGCTATTTCTGGCCATGGCGCGAAGGCGCCCAGGAGAGAAGCAATGAGTGGCTACTGCACATTATTAAGCGTAGTGTAACTGAACACCACTGTCCTGTACTGGAGTTATTTAAGTTTGTACAGCAGTTAAAGGTAGGCAGGTATTGCCCTGACCAGGTGGCGCAGGCGGTTGGAGCATTGCATCCGTGTGCCAAAGGGTGTGGTCTCGATTCCCAGTCAGGGCCTATACTGGTTGCAAGTTCAAATCCTGGTGTGTGTGGGAGGTGTACAGGAAGCAACCGATGGATGTTTCTCTCATGTCAATAAAAACTTATCCCTGGGTAAGGATTTAAAACTAGAAAAAACGGAGGGAGAACTTGCACACGAAATCACTCTTTGAGTAACATTCCTCTGGAGGAACTCACCCGAATCCTTTCTGACTGCTGTGTAACCTCGGGGCTCACTGATGATGGCAGACCCCTCCCCCCAGCCCTGTCTCCCTATCTTCCTCCCTGAACAGTGTGCTCAGGGGCTGAGGTTTCACTCCTGCTTACACAAACAAAGACATCTATAATAAAATGTCCGAGTTTATTATGTAGTAAAATGTTGACCTGTTTTTATCGTTTGGCTATGGCTCTGTCATAGCTAAAGGACCTGTTCCTGTATGTACCATGATGAACACATTTACATGTCCACGTAACACTCATCACAGGCGGGGCTGCCAGGCCGACTGCTGCTTGTCCCAGCGCCCCTGCTCGTCCCAGGTGTGTGTCCGGTTTCTGGCAATCCCACGTTCACACGCATTTTGGTTCTTCCGGTTCCAAGACGTGAATTGGCGGTGCCCCCGGAGCCAGGGTCCCTGTAGTGGTGGCCACGTCAGAGCGAGCTGGGAGTTTACCTCCGAGGTCTGAAGCTTACGTTGGTCTAACGTACCTCTCGGCATGGCCTCTGCCTTTAAAGCACGAGACTGTTCCTCTGTGACGTCACAGGCAGGGTTTGGCTTAACACCCAGCGCCGCTCCAGACCCTGAGGGCCGACAGCTCCTGAGCGAGGGACCGAGTGCGGATGGCTGCTGTGATGCCTGCTGCCTCTGGTCTGCTGAGAGGGTGTGGCCGCGGGCCCGGCCCAGGAGCCTCCGAGGTGACGTTGGCCAGAAGAGGAGGGAGGAAGAGCTTGGTGGGTAGAAGGAATTCCGAATGGCTAGCTGAATCCCGAACAAGGCCGTGACCAGGTGACCCTGCAGACCCGGGAGGCAGCACACCCGTGTCCCGGGTGCCACCAGCCTGCCTGTAACCAGTCGGTTTGTTAAAAAACGGCCAGAAGGAAACTGAGCTTCTGGGCTGAGACGGATAAAACCCCGGGAGCGGCCGCCCTCCTCCCAGCGGCGGCGTCACTCCTGGGCCCAGCAGAGCCGGCCGTCCTCGCCCAGCCGCACGGCGCCGCTGGCCACCAGCTGCAGGGCCGCGGGGAAGATCCTGTGCTCCGCCACCTTCACCCTCTCGGACAGGGTGGCCACGGTGTCGCCCCTCTTCACCGGCACAGCTTCCTGTAAGATAATCCGCCCGGTGTCCACGTCCTCCTGGAAAAGGAAGCCACGTCTGAACCTGGTCCAGCCGGTACCGCTCACCCCAACCCCGTGCCACTGCGTGGAGGCATACTCACAGCGACGAAGTGCACGGTGCACCCTGTCAGCGCCACGCCGGTGGCCAGGGCCTGCTCGTGGGCATTGGCGCCCTTGAAGGCCGGCAGCAGGGACGGGTGGATGTTGAGCATCTTCCCTGGGAGGGGAACACAGGGTCAGGACTGCTCGGGAGGGTGTTTCTCCGTCAGACAGAGAAGGCAACGGGAAGCACAGGCCTGCGTCTCAGGATGGCTGAGGACTCGCCGAGGGACCCACAGTAACTGAGGCTGGACAGGGGTGAGGTGGGGCGGGCGCTCCATGGGCCCTGGGGCTTCGCGGCGCTGGCACACACTAGGGAGACACACCAAACCCTCGCAGTGTCCAGTGGGACCCGTGGCACGCCCACCAGCCGATGCCGACTCAGCCCTGTGCCGCAGCACCACAGGTCCCACCGGCTCATGGCGTGCGTGCCCGCTGTCCTCTTAGGTCAGCAGCTCTCAACCTGAGGGTCACGGCCCCTTTGGGGTTGAACGATTCTTTCACGGGTTGTCTAAGACATCTGCATATCAGATGTTTATATTACGATTCGTAACAGTAGCAAAATGACAGCTATGAAGTAGCAACAAAAATGTTACGGTTGGGGTCACCACAGCAGGAGGAGCTGGGTTACAGGGCCGGGGCGTTAGGAAGGTGGAGAGCCACTGTCTTAGGGAAACGTGAACCCTTTGGAGAGAAGTGCATTTCCTGCTCAGACGTGTGCACAACACACAGCAGGACGAGGGGAACGTTGTGGGGAAAGGCAGTGACCCAGGCGTTTTGTTTTCTGGCCACAACGGACGCCCTGCCACCTCCAGCTGCGCCTGCACTCCCCGAGGAATGGGTGGGGGGAGCCACTCTCTCTCGCTCCCAGACAAGTGAAAGGCTCTCCGAAGATGGCTCAGAGAGGGAGTGCTGTCGGGGTGGTGTTTGAAAAGGACCGGGTGACAGCAGGGTCCTGAGTCACCCGGGCGTCCTGTGGGCTAAGGCGAAGGAGGTGACCCTGCCTCACAGTCAGTGCCAGGCACACCCGCCACTGGGGCCGCCTGGCCCACGCTCACCATTCCACTTCCTGACGAAGGGGCCGGACAAGATCCTCATGAACCCGGCCAGACAGACGATGTCCACGGAGAACTCTGCAAGGATCTGGTCAATGGCCTCGTCAAACTGGACACGGCTTTTATATAGCTTGTGATTAAGCACCTGGAGTAGAAAAACAGAAGCCAGATCTGTTTCAATGAAGGACACAAGCAGTTCCACACGTGGCCTTTCCACAGAAGACGCGCTGACAGAAAGAGGCAGGGAGCCGAAACCGGCGTGGCTCAGTGGATAGAGCCTGCGGACTAAAGGGTCCCAGGTTGGGTTCCGGTCAGGGGCATGTACCTTGGTTGTGGGCACACCCAGGAGGGGTGTGCAGGAGGCAGCTGATTGATTTTCTCCCTCATCCATGTTTCTAACTCTGTCCCTCTCCCTTCCTCTCTGCAAAAATCAATAAGATATAAAAGAGACGTCGGGAATGGACGGGAGGAAGCAGGAAGGGCGGCCCAGCACCACCCCAACACAGAAACCCACAGGCCCCGTGCACGAGCCTGTGGGCGCGAAAGACAGGTGTAAACAGCCGCAGCGGGACACGCCGAGGCCTACCCTGGTGGGAATGCCCGCACTGGCCGCTCGGTCCAGCCCGGCCACCGCGGCCTTGTTGGAGATGACCAGGACGATGTGGGCGGCGCTGCTCGGCTCCCGGGTGCTGTCTATCAGCGCCTGCAGGTTCGAGCCTGAGGAGAAACAGCAAGCTCACACTTCTTAAAGAGACATGTGCCCTTAAAAGCATCCACCTTTCCATTTCCAGTTCGCATTCCGTGTCACATCAGTTTCAGCGGTAGCCAGTGGTTAGACGCTTACAAAACGTCCAGGTGGTCTAGCCCCCACTGGCACCTCGTCAGCCCCTCACTGAGGGACCCCGGGGGCTGCAGACATGTCACCCCGCCCCTGGGGTTTATTTTGGGGAAAGGTGGGCGGAGGGAAGGGAAGACACAGCTCACCTGTCCCGGAGATGAGGACGGCCACCCTGGCCTTCTCCGGGGTGGAGAGGGGACTGGGCGCGGGGCCGTTGTGCAGCGCGGGCCTGTGGGGCTGCAGGGCGTCCAGCAGGTGCTGGACTCTCACTCGGGGGGAACCTTCATTCACACACCGGGAGAGAAGCAAGCACAGCCATGACTTAGTGAGCACAGACAGGGTCTGTGAACACTTCAGACACTGTATTTTACTCTGAAGAAAGATGTGCGAGGCCTAATGTAACAGCTTGTATTACTTAACCCCACTCCCTCATAACAGTCTGCTCAGGGGACACTGCCCGCGGCAGCTGAGGCTGTGGCAAGGACGAGACCGAGCCAGGGCGACACCCAGTGACCAAGCCCCGGGAAAAGCAGAGTCTGGTCAGGCCGCTTGGATGGGAGCCGAGCGGCCGGGGAAGTCCCGGGAAGCACCCCGGACCAGCGTGCAGATGCGGAGGCGCAGCCAGCACTGGGCTGTGCAGGAAACGGCGCCCATGGTGGGCAGCTGGGGCTGGACGCCCTGGGCCTCAGATGGCACTTGGGCACGCCTTCCTCTCCTTGGAGTGGCGCTCCCCCCACGGCCCTTCCCCCGGGCCAGGTGGGCTGTGTGTGTGCGGCTGCCTGTGTGGCTGCCCCGGAGCCTGGACCCGCGGCAGAAGCGAAGAGGCAGGTGATGTCACCATGTGGCTGCGGTCAGGCTACCCGTGCCACTGCGATGCCGGAGAAGAGGTGGGCGGACAGCGTGAGAGTGTGTGTGTGTGTGAGAGAGAGAGAGAAAGAGAGAGGGAGGGAGAGAGAGAGATGACAGGCACACTCAGGATCACACGCCGAAGAGCTAAGTAAGGAGCGATACCTTCAGGGCGGGCCACCACCTGGCCGACCAGCCAGGCCTCCTCCTGGTGCTGCCGAACGTCCCTCAGCACCTGCTCTGCCAGGTCCGGCGACACCACGAGGGCAGCTCCGAGCCCGCAGTTAAAGGTCCTGGCCATCTCCTCAGCCGACAGGCATCCTTCGTGCTGCAGCCACGAGAAGATGGCGGGCACCCTCCAGGCCCGGGCATCTGCAAACGGGCGAGTGTTGTCTGATTATCACCATGGCTCTCCGAGGACAAAGGTGAGCTCACAGCCAGGGGACCCCACAGCCTGCTCCTTCAGCTGCGATGAAGGTCACCATTCCATCAGCAGTCAGTCAGCAGCGACATAGAGGAACATGATGTCTTATGGACACTCATTAAAAGCGATACCATTATGACAGGTTAGTATTGATGGCACAGTAAATGGCAGGATAAACAGATTATACTATGATATTTTAGCTAAACATTTACAAAGTATTTATATAAAAATAAGACCAACAGCCCTAACTGGTGTTGCTCAGTGGATAGAGCATCAGCCTGTGGACTGAAGGGTCCCGGGTTCGATTCCGGTCAAGGGCTTGTACCTTGGTTTTGGGCACATACCAAGTAGGGGGCATGCAGGAGGCAGCTGGTCGATGATTCTCTCTCAATGATATTTCTAACTTTCTATCCCTCTCCCTTCCTCTTTGTAAAAAAATCAATTATATATAATATATATATATATATATATATATATATATATATATATATATATATATATATAATTTAAACACCAACAGGCTAAGAGCCTAGTTCCTACAAATGATCAAGCATGTCATGAATGACAAGTAACTTGAATGCCGAGAATTCCTTACGTAAGTCTGTTGTCAAAGTTTGTTCCTGGAGGAAACCTCAGAGGGACCTCTGTGTTGGGACAGACATTTGCGTAATTAAAAAAACAAAAACAAAAACGGCTTTTAAGAACATGGCTACAGCAGGTTAGGTTCCCGAGGCGGCGAGCACTGTGTCCCTGCAGCCAGTGAGTGCTGTGCCCGCCTTGCACAGCCGACCCGGCGGTGAGGAGCTGGCCGGGAAGGGAGGCTGCAGACGCCCGGGGGCCCAGCCTCTGCGCTCCGCCGTCAGCACACCGCTGCTCCGAATGACTTCAAGGGGACAGGACTTCAAGGTTCCGCTTATCCTCACGGGGCAGCCTCTGCCCAGGGGTCTCTTAAACCACTGCGATAACTCATGGGCCTTGCACTCTGTACCGCTACTGAAGGGGGTCCGTGCCGCCCCCCCCCCCCCCCCCCCGCTTCTCTCTTCCGCTTCCAGGGAGGCGCAATCCCAGGGGACTTCTCGCTCACGCCGCCTGGTCCCTCGCTTTCGCAGCACCTATTCTGCCTCTCCCAGCTTCACACGCGCTCCCACCGGAGGGCTAGCCCCCCCCCCCACGCACCCCCCCCGCCCCCCGCTCAGCCCCATCCCGTCACGGCTTTCTGCTGTTCCAAAGCTATGCATGCTGGTTCTCTGGGCGGGAAATTACACAACCCGCTGCAACTTCTCCGCCGTCCTGCTTGCCGTCCCAGTCCCGTTTCTGACCCTGACGGCTTCCATGTGTCTCTCTCACCGCAAGCTGCCAGCCCAGGCCTGGCAGGTCACTAAGCCCGCCGGCTTTCCCTGGGAAAGGCATCCGTTTCTACCCCTCAGACCAGTGTGTACAGCGGGCGGACAAGCTCAGACCAGTGTGTAGAGCTGGCGGTCAGCCTGCCCACGTGCTCTGCCTGTCGCTGTCCCCTATAAAAACGGGGCACCCCGTCCTTCACCTTACACTGAGCAGAAGTCATTTCCCTCTCCTTTCACCAGTTCCTGAGTTAATGCTCTCTGTCACGGTCTTTGTCTCTCTCCCCCGTCAAGCTGCTATTTTACCCCCAGATGTGTGGGTCTATCCAGCCTGCACCCTAGAGCTATGCGGCACCTGACCCAGCTGACCGGGTCCCGCTCGTCCAGAGGGGCTGATTCCTTTCCAGGGCTCACCCCCCGACGGCTCTTACAGAAACCCTACCTCTGCCGAGACCAGGCACTGAGGACAACCTCTGGCCTCTCCACTCTCTTGGCGCCAGCGGCGACTACCTGCACACGAGCACCCACCTTCCCTCAACCTGACCTCCCTTCTGATCAGACTCCTTGCAATGAGCACCCTGAAGAGCTGAAACACGGATTCCAGCTCCTGCTCCAAATCTACTTGCCCTCCTGCGTTCTGGATGCTGCCATCTTTCCCTCAGGGGCACAATGAGTCGGCCCTGCCTCCTCCCGCACGCCTTGGGCCGGGCCTCACCCCTGCAGAGGACTAGTCAGGGCTGCCCCTGCCCTCCCTGCACGTCCCTGGGTCCAACACGACCGAGCTTGAGGCTACCCACCCCTGGAGGACCTGCCAGCGCTCCACCTGCTATAAGACAGTCACACGAGGGGATTTCACAAACGTGGCAAGTAAGCAGAAGAGGTAAAGGGGCAGCCCTGTTCTTCCCCCAGACACCGCAGGATGAGAATGTTCCACGTGTAATCACATGGGCACCAACCAGCCATAGGACCCCAGCGTCTCTCCTCTCCTAAGGGCTCCGAGCGGAAGCGTCTCTAAGGCGCTCACCTAGCTCCGCCCCGCAGCTCGGAGGGAGGACCCGCGGGATGTTCTCCAGCAGCCCGCCGCCGGTGATGTGGGCAAAGGCCTTGACGTGGCCTGAACGCAACACAGGTAGCAGGGAGTGGCTGTAGATTCTGGTCGGAGTCAGAAGTAAGTCTCCTGGATATCAGAGAGAAAAGACAGAAACTCAGTGAATAGAAATAAAAAACCAAACACAAAAAACAGCACGTGCTCCGGCCGGTGGGCTGAGCATCAACCTGTGAACCAGGAGTCACGGTTCAATTCCCGGTCAGGCCCCACGCCCGGGCTGTGGGCTCGGTCCCCAGTGTGGGACGAGCAGAAGTCAGCTGATCAATGATTCTCTCATCACTGATGTTTCTCTCTCTCTCTCTCTCCTCTCTGAAATCAATACAAATATCTTAAAAAACCTTAATACAGCGAAATGAAAACGGAGTAGAGAATGCTTGTGGCTTCGTGCAGGCACACTAGTCCTAGAAGCAGGTCAGACACGTCCACAGGACAGGGCGCCAGCTCCGAGCAGAGTTTCCAAGGAGAGCACTCACCTAAGGTCTGGTAGCCGCAGCCGTGGGGCGCCGGAGAGGAGTACTGGAGGGAAGATTTTGCTACAATCTTCCTCACAAGGCTGAACCCGTTGCTGTGGAGACCAGATGACGCTACTCCAATAACAACATCCCCTTCAGCGATGCTTTCCAGGCGAGGGAGTTGCTGGTCGCGCTCCACGGCGCCCACGGCGAAGCCCGCCAGGTCGTACTCCCCGGGGGCATACATGCCCGGCATTTCTGCCGTTTCCCCTCCTGGCGGAACAAGAACAGGAGACTCTGATAGGTCTGCTTCTTTCTGGGACGTGGGACACCAGCTACAATTAGACATTCGCGGTAACCCCAAACACCCCCTCAGGGCCCTCTCGGGCTGTGACGGGCAGCATTTCAGAGGAAATGGCGCTAATTCCCAAAGAGGGCGAGGCGGCTCCTAACACCGCTGGCGAATAAAAGTCCCGTCCTAGCAGTCTGGTCCCGGCAATGCTTTCCCTGTAGCTGATCCTCACAGCCACTCGATCTGTTCCAGGCCAGCCGTCACCAACCGGTGGTCCGTGGACCACTGCTGGTCCACCAGGTCCGAAAGGCCGGTGGCTGCTGTTCCAGGTGACGACACCGGCTGACAGCGGTGAATCAGCCCGCCCAACGCCCTGGCCTGAAAAGCACCCACAGGCCACTTCAGGATAACATCATGCAAACACGGGGTCTAGTCACTCTGACTCCAAGTCAGAGGCTGTCCTAAAAAATGGCTGCAAAGGCAACTTTGGCTTCTGGAAGGGTCCTGTCCACAGAAATGGTAATACCAAGAGGTAGCTTTGTGCCTTGGTCAACCTGGATTCATTTTGCACAAGTCTCTTACACATTTAGTAATCTATATATATAAAAGGCTAAAATGCTGAATGTCTGAATGGTCACTATGATGTGCACTGGCCACCAGGGGGCAGACACTCGATGCAAGAGCTGCTGCGATGTGATTGGCCATTTACACAGAAATGGCACCTTGGACCTGGTGCCGCTGGGGAGTGTGACCTGGCCAGGTCCACCGTGGGGGCCGTGGAGTGGGACTAGCAACTCCCTCGCCTGGCGTCAGGACACCAGGGGCCACACTCTCCCCCTCCGGGCAGCGTCTCTACTTTACTGGCCTCATCTTGTGATATGTGGTCTTTTCTCCTTCGCTGTATCGGTACCAATCCCACTCGTCCACGGGCTAACACACAGTGAAGGACATGCGATGCTAGGGGGCTCATACCGAGGAGGGCGCACCCCGCTTTCCTGCACGCTTCAGCGATGCCAGCAACAACGGCTGCAGCGGTGCCCACATCGAGGTGCCCACAGGAGAAGTAGTCGAGGAAGAAGAGGGGCTCTGCGCCCTGGGCCAGGATATCATTCACGCACATCGCAACCAGGTCCTGGCCGACGGTGCCGTGCTGCTCGCACTGCTGGGCAACCTAGGAACAGCACAAACATCATCACAACTCGTCAACTTAGCAGCAGAGGTGCAAATACTGTCAGCTTCTGGCTAGCTGCTCTGAACAATAAAGACAGAAGAACACTAAATTCTGTGTTACTTGGTCCAAAGTACCCCCGTAAATAACCCTTCCATTCAGATAGAGCCTCAACATTATGTTATCAAACATGGCGATATTTTGATCCTATCCTATGGTTGTGTTTGGGATGGTTCTCTTTAGGGCTTGAATGTCAAAAGGGAAGATGCGTGAATTCGAGGCCTTTCTTCACAAAGGTGTCTGATTACCTTCAGTTTCGTGCCGACGCCATCTGTTCCACTGACCAGGAGAGGGTCTCTGTACCCCGCTGCTTTCAGGTCAAAAAGACCAGCAAAACCTCCCAGATCCACATCACAGCCTGAGGGGAGGAAACTCATTAGTCTGTGCATTTCTACGGATCAGGGCACGCTAGTACACAGAACACTTCTCCATGCCTGCCCAGAGAATGTGAGGGTAGCATGTGCTTAAAGCCCAATCGAGAAGTAATTAAACATTAAAGGGACAGACATATCTCAATGAGTTTAACACCATAAACAAGAAATGGTTTTCCTTTCTTTTTTTATTCACCCTCACCAGAGAATATCTTTCCACTGATTTTTTTAGAAAGAGTGTAAGGCAGGGGGCGAGTCAGAGAGAGAAACCACAATGTGAGAAACACATCACCTGGTTGCCTCCTGCACATACCCTAACCAGGGCCGGGGATCGAACCTGGGACTCTTCAGTCTACAGGCCGATGCTCCACCCACTGAGCTGAACTGGCTAGGACTATGAGATAAGAAAGCAGCCGAAACCGGTTTGGCTCAATGCATAGAGCGTCGGTCTGCGGACTGAAAGGTCCCGGGTTCGATTCTGGTCAAGGGCACGTACCTTGGTTGCGGGCACATCCCCAGTGGGGTGTGTGCAAGAGGCAGCTGGTCGATCTATCTCTCTCATCGACGTTTCTAACTCTCTATCCCTCTCAATTCCTCTATGTGTAAATTCAATAAAATATATTTAAAAATGAAAGAAAGCAGAAAACTGTGTGCCTGTCTGGCTTCCAGGGCATCAATTTTGAACATTATCCTTTGAAAACTACAAAGCCCGTCAGTCCAGAGTGCTTGTCAAAGCTAAGGGACTAGCCAAGGACTGGGTGGGACTCACCTGGTCTGGAGGTGGCTCTGGCTAGAGGCTTAATTTGCTTGACCAGCAGGTTTCCAGCTGCAATGTCCACCCCCGAGTCCTTGTACGTCAGGCCCCTAAAGAAGTAGAAAAGCCAAACCAAACTGAGGCGTGACCTACCGGTCGGGGGAGATGATCCTGAGGGCGAACTGAGAACTGCCCCAGAGGAGCCCGCGCCATCACTGGCAGGGGCACTGCTCTCACTCACTCCTCCCTCAGCGCCTCCCACAGGGGAGATGCCGACAGTGGCCACAGCCTCTCTGAGTGCTGGTGTGGGAAGGAAAGGAGCCTCACAGCTAAGCCCAAAAAGTAAACATTAGCATTCTAAGAACTGGACCCGGAAATCCTTAAATGAAACCGCTCTCACTGCAATAACAGAGACTGTAAATCTCCTGATAGCTGAAGGCAGCTAAGCAACAGGATGAGCATGAGGCAGTGGTGTTTGGCGCTCCTCCTGTGTCAGGCCGACGTGGAGTGGCACATACAAAAATGAGAACGCGGGCCACGTGGGATGCAGCGACACACGGAGAACACGTTAGGCTTTAAAAAAGGTCCAGCGGTAGGAATATATTTGGTTCTACTGGTTTAAAAAACCTTCATCTGCCGAAACCTGGTTTAGCTCACTGGTAGAGCATCGGTCTGCGGATGCTCTACCAGTGAAACGTCCTGGGTTCGATTCCGGTCAAGGGCATGTACCTAGGTTGCGGGCACATCCCCGGTAGGGGGTGTGCAAGAGGCAGCTGGTTGATGCTTCTCTCTCATCGATGTTTCTAGTTCTCTATCCCTCTCCCTTCCTCTTATAAAAAAAAATCAATAAGATATATTAAAAAACAAAACAAAAAACCTTCATCTGTAGGTTGCAGTCCCTGCCCAGCCTCTGTGGCTCAGTGGTTGAGCGCCAACCCATGAGCCAGGCCTCGGTTCTATTCCCAGTCAGGGCACATGCCTGGGTTGTGGACTCGAACTAGCTCTCTCTCCTTTTCTCTCTCTGAAATCAATAAAAACACATTTTTTCAAAAAGTTCATAAAAACAAAACAAAACAAAACAAAACCAGATTGCAGTCCCTTGAAATAAGTCATTCCATGGAATCTACTCATTTTAAAATAAAAAAATAAATTTTTATCATGGTAAGCTAGTATTTAAACTTTAAAAAACTTGCCTACAAGTAGCAGTATAGTTTGAATTAAATTATTAAACATTTATTTTGTCCTAAAACTTATTTCTCATAGTTGAACTCAAAAAGAATAGTAACTCTGATACAGTTAAGAAAGCAAAAAACACCCACGCTGGTGATGAGAAATTTATTGATTTTCACAAAGGAATGGCTGTACATGTCAATAAGCAAATCGGTAAGGGTGAGAGTCCATTCAGTGACAGATGGAAATGCAGGGACAGAGCAGACTGCCCAAGTGTATAGTTTCACTAAATTAAGTTACAAAAATAAACGACCAATAGTTCCATTTTGAATTCCAACACAAAACCAGGAATAATGATATAAGCAGACAGTCACATTTAAATATATGATAATTCACGGAATAAGAACGTCTTCACTAGCTTTACTGAGGAATAACAAATGACAGTACATAAAGTGGACAATGTGAAAAAAGTCCTTCACATCACTGTTATTTTACTGGACTTTCCAGAGGGAACTACCAGGAAGCACTTTCCATTTCATTTGACTAGTGTTGCAAATTTTTGATTTACAAATGCAAATCAAAATCTCATCAGCCCACAGGGAGAGCACGGGATGCCCGAACTCAGGGTCAGTGGGTCTGTCTACCCTCTGCTGCCCATGTGAGCTGCCCACCCCGCAGGACGTTACCTGGGCTGCTGGAGGAACGCTATGGCGCGGCTGCCAATGTCCTTCCTATAGACGGCGCCCTCAAACTTTATAGCAGCCAGCCCTTGCTTGGCTGCTTCGAGGGCTGCGACCAGTGTGTCCCGGATGGCCGTCACCGTGAGGACTCGCCCTCCGCTGGTCACCACTTTGCCATCTTTCAGGGCTGTGCCTGCCTGGAACACCTCCAGCCCCAAAGCCTGGGCCTCGGCGATGCCTGTGGGACAGCACATTGGGCTCAGTAGCTGCAGTGAGAATGTTCTACATGCTGATCGCATTGTCATTTCCACAAGTTTTCTTTGAAATAAAATCTTTATTTCACTTTAAGAATACTATCAGGAAGGCATAATGCAACATAATAGTAAACAGACACTTCTATCAAGAACAGTATGAGAACTACCAGGAAGTTTTTTTCCATTTTATTTGACTAGTGTTGTAAATTGTTTTGATTCAAACTAAATGCAAATCAAAATCTGATTACATCTTTTACTTAAAAGTAAAGGAATCTGCCAAAACCGGTTTGGCTCAGTGGACAGAGCATCAGCCTGCGGACTGCAGGATCCCAGGTTTGATTCTGGTCAGGGGCATGTACATTGGTTGCGGGCACATCCCCAATAGGGGGTGTACAAGAGGCAGCTGATCGATGATTTTCTCTCATCGATGTTTCTAACTCTCTATTCCTCTCTCTTCCTCTCTGTAAAAAATCAATAAAATATATATATAAAAAAAAGGTAAAGAAATCTCTCTCTTATCACAGCTACCCCAGTAAAGATGCTTGCTTTCTTTTTAAAACAACCAAAAGGGTCACTGCAATGAAGGCGTTGGGATTTTGCCACAGGAGACGACGGGGAGCAGTGCAAAGGGGGATCCATTAATGGTCATTCCGAGATCACACGTGTGACACTCATCTCATCGTGTAGTTCACACTAATGTTCTCCTAACCCTCAGAGCCCCATTATCTTCCCGGCGCATGACCAGGCCTAAGTCTTCCCTGGCCAGAGAGGGAAACGGACTGTGTTTCAGTACTTCCGGGTATCTGAGCACCCACACCAACAAGCCACATGGCTATGAGGGGAGCCCTGGAAGGTTTCTGAGGGCGAACGTCCTGCCTCCAGGCTCACCTGTTATCTCCACACCCTTGGCATAGTCTCCAGGATACCCCTGACTTGCCATGACGACGGTGACGGCCGCCTGGTTTTCAAGCCAAACGGGTGGAGCTGCACAGAGCAGGCCATCCAGGGTGGACTGAATCACCTCGTAGAGATCGCTCTTAAGAAGCGGAAGTATCACCTGCAAAAGCACGATCCATATGGCAACAGGAGTTTTATTCTCAGACACCTGTTCACTGGCTTTTCGGCAAACCTGAACACCCTGCTGGCCCACGAATGTGGACGAACACAGAGCGAGGGGCCCTGACCCCTCCTCAAAAACCCACATGTGGTTTATGACTCCCCAAAACCTAACCACAGCCGTCCCTGCTATCCACAGGACATTGGTCCCAGGACCCCGCCGCAGACTACACAGCCTGTGATGCTCCAGTCCCTTATAGGAGGCGGCGGGATCAGCGCACACAGCCAGGTTCTGTTTGGACCTGAGGTTGGTTGATTCTACAGATTCAAACCCCAGGTACAGGGAGGGCTGACTGTGTGTTTATCTTTAAAAATCTGCATGTGCCGAGGCCGGTTTGGCTCAATGGATAGAGCGTCGGCTTAGGGACTGAAGGGTCCCGGGTTCGATTCCGGTCAAGGGCATGTACCTTGGTTGCGGGCATATCCCCAGTAGGGGGTGTGCAAGAGGCAGCTGATTGATGACTCTCTCTCATCGATGTTTCTAACTCTCTATCTCTCTCCCCTCCGCTCTGTACAAAATCAATAAAATATTTTAAAAAATAAAAAAATAAAAAAATAAAAATCTGCATGTAAGTGGACTCACACAGTTCAAACCTGTGTTGTTCTGAGTCAACTGTATCTCTCAAAGGCAATGATATCAAGGCTCCTAAGTTCCGGGATTAAAAGAACTCACACCTTCTCCAAAGCCACGCTTAGTGTTACCTGTAACCATTGCCCACCTGGCACTCCGGGTCCCCGAAACGGCAGTTAAACTCCAGAACCTTCGGGCCATCCCTGGTCAGCATCACGCCCGCGTAGAGAACACCTGTGACGGAGGGGAAATCTACAATGAACACTGTGCCCGAGACTGAGACACAGCTCCGCACACTCCAAGGCCCAGAGGGCCCACTACCCCGCCCCCGGGGCCCACAGAGGTGGTGAAGGAGGAAACGGGGGCCTGCCAGCCTGAGGGCACCCCCAGCGCACACCGCGCACCTGTGTACGGCGTGCCCTCCTGCTGCATGCCGTCCACTGTCCGCTGAAGGATGGCATTTTTAATCTTCAGCAGCAAATCCTTCGAGACCTGGGGGAGAAGCAAGCCAATGTAACTGATATTTAAAACGTCATCTTGTAAGCCATGCCACATGGGACAATGAAAGGGGACAACGAAAATTATTACTTTAAATTCATAAACCTTTAAGCCCCCACTACTGGCCCTATCAAGTCCGTACTAGCATTATTCTTATGAAACAGGAAATGTGTCACCAAAGTTAAAAACGACCGTCATCAGCAGAACACTGCTCAGAGCCCTTCGAGAAGCTACCCTCCCCCCCCCCCCCCCCACTCGGCTTCCGTGGAGCCAACACACACCTGCGGGGCGGGGCAGCAGGCCCCCATGCCCCCCGTGTTGGGGCCTCGATCTCCCTCCAGCAGCCGCTTGTGGTCCTGCGCGGGGGGCATGGGAGCCACGGTCCGCCCATCGGTGAAGCACAGACACTGCACAGAAGACAGAACAGTCCACTCACCTCACATGCGGGAGCACAAAGTTCCTTAACACGGGGAGCGTGAACCCTAACTTTCCTTACAGGAAGCTCTTTTTCAAAGTAAAACGAGTTAAAACACAACCAAGCTTCATACATAGTTGGGTTAGGTACAAAATGAAGCTCCTCTCAGAGCACAGTATTCCAACCTTCCCCTTTAAGTCACACCCGATACCAGGCCGAGTCCCTTATGAGAACAGGGGAGGAGTAAAGAGGGTGAACCCTTTTTTACTCGCATCCCCAACACTACACAAACCACCCCTTTGTTCCCGCTGGGTCTGTGCTTTCCGATGATACACCCGGAATTCACCCAGTGTGCTGGGGCCCGGCGGTCAGGTGACCTAGCTCCCATACTCCCTGAGGGTCCGGAGGACGGACATACTTACAGAAACCTCTTCTCCTTCCAGCAGCTCTTCAATGACAACCGTTTCTCCCGCTGCTCCAAAGGCTTTATCCTATTGTAGATTAGAAAGCACAAGAGTTGTAAGCTCTCAACATTTACTAATTGGCTGTTACTTCCTACCGTTTGTATCCAGACCAATGCCTGCACTGTCATTCCCTTTCCCGTGCTGAAAGCCTCCAAGGGATCTAGGAATGTTTCCGGAGGGAGCGGCTATAGGGCCAAGCCTCTGCTGACCTTTGGAGCCACCACCAAGTCCCAGCGTGGAGGGCAGAGCCCTCCCAGCACAATTAAGCTTGACCTTCTAGTCTCCCTTGTTCCAAGCAGCTAACTGGCTGAGGGAACAGTCTCCAGGAGCCCCTACCTGCATGATGTCCTGCACGGCTCTGCAGGCCTCTTCTCTGCTCGCTGCCACGATCACCCCCTTCCCGGCGGCCAGGCCGCTGGCCTTCACGACCAGAGCAGGGAAGTCAGCACTGTGGAGACAGGTTAACCCTCAACACCCACACACCTTACAACTGGAAATGTAAGCTGCTCTGGGATTCCGTATGATGTGCTCCGGCAGCGAGGGGAAAGCAGGAATTACTGATCACACTGACACCATTCTGTACTTCTGTTTGCTTATGCAGTCCTTTCTGATTGTGACCACATGGCACCCATAATTCCCCCCGTCCCCCTCCGCTTATGGTGAGATCATGCCGATGCAATCACTGGACGAATGGAGCAGCTGTAAACCAGGTATGGCAGCATCTTTCAGAGACAAAGCAGTGACTGGACACCCATCCAAGTAGAAGATGTGGCTGTGTCTGAGCAATGAGCACGGACACATGGACATTCCCCCCAGGGCGCATGAGGAACTATTGCTGGGAGTTCCTGCTGCTGAGGGAGAGGAGAGCTGAAACGACACTAAGTCACCCGGCTCTTGGGAAAGAACATGGATTTTATGCCCAAGAATGGTGGCGGCACAAGGCCACCAAGTGGTGCCTCCCCGCTCTGGTTATTTATTTAAATGTCCTTCCCTTTCTCTCTTAAGTTGTCACTGCATACACCAAGCATGGGCCTGCCGGCCGCCAGTTTGACATGCTCGGTGTACATAAACCAGGCTATGAAAGGAGTGCATGACTGCAAAACCAAGTTCACCTCTCCCCCCAGAAACTATTCAGTTATAAATAATAAGTTCACCTTTCGGCAAAGTTGCAGCATCTACTACATGTGCAGAGAATCAATCCCATTTTCTTCTGATGTTGGAAAAAGGCAACCGAAATAGAACGAGCCCCTCCCCCATTATCTCATGAGCGACCCAAACAGGTGCCTGCCATGGTCTCCCACCTCAGGATGAAGCCGCGGGCCGCCTCCAGCTCGGTGAAGGCCCTCCACCGGGCGGTTGGGATGCCATGCCGGTCCATGAACTCCTTGGCGAACCTTTTGCTGGACTCTAGCTGAGCCGCTTGTGCTGTGGGGCCAAAGCACCGCACGCCTGCCGCCGCCAGGTCCCCGACCATCCCTGCGAGGGAAAGAACACCCCCTGAGCCAGGCCCTCTCCACCCTCAAGGCCTGGGGTCACATGAAGCTCCATGGCGACGGGGCACATGACTGCCGGAAAGGTTTTCATGTTGTCTACAGAACAGGAACAAAAACGCTACAAACGTGAATCAAATCCCAAAGTTATGTTATATTGAAATACATGGATCACTAAATAGGAATGTATAAAAACATGTAAAATGTTTCCTGTGCCTGCAAATTTCATTTCTCATTCATCACATTTCTGCTGCTTGAGGAAAAATTCACCTATACTCATAAATTTCAAGAGGGGGGGATGCCTTTTCCCAATGCCATATCTCACTAGAATCCTCATCTCTAAAGCGAGTTGGATTCGATGCTCCCCAGCTCCGTGGATGCGGGACAGTCAGTGACCATAAACAAAAACACTCACCAGCAGCCAGAGGTGCCTCTGGTCCAACGACGACGAATTCAATGTTCTCATCTTTGCAGAACTGCGCGAGGGCACTGTGGTCGCTGATGGAGATGGCTGCGAACAGAGAGAAACACCGCGTTACAGACATTCTTTAAGGTACTGCCGCCTGCAACTAAGTGCTAACGCTGTCCTGCCCATTCACTGGGTGCAGATGTTCCTCCCAGGACAGCTGGGACCAACAAAGCGTAGTTCTCTGCGGTCACTGCAGCGTTAGACATGCAAGACCAGGAAGCGTCCCAAGCACCTTCTCAACTGCGGTGTTTGTGTCACAAGTGTTGACTGCATAGTCAACAAACGTGTGTTGCAGGATGTACTCAGAAATGGTCTTCACCCGTTCAGATGTGCTGAGGACCCATGTGCGGGTGCTGCCTGCCACTGGTGGAGAGTGAACACAAACAGGCCCCTATACGTGAGCTGCTTATAGTCCACTGGGGGATGCTGGGTAATAAATATTTAAGGAGAAAAGCCCCAGTTGTGAACCAAGTAGGCACATTTGGTATGAGGTGAACTGGGGACTATCCTGGTGGAGCCAGGGAGGGTCTCCTCGTGAAGAGATGTTTAAACCGGGAATGGAATGATTTAAGACTGGGGGCACAGCCGAAGCCGGTTTGGCTCAATGGTAGAGTGTCGGTCTGCGGACTGAAAGGTCCCAGGTTCGATTCGGTCAAGGGCATGTACCTTGGTTGCAGGCACATCCCTGGTAGGGGGTGTGCAAGAGGCAGCTGGTCGATGTTTCTCTCTCATCAACATTTCTAGCTCTCTATCTCTCTCCCTTTCTCTCTGTTAAAAATCAATAAAATATATTAAAAAAAAAAAAAAAAAAAAAAAAAAAGACTGGGGGAACGACCACCTGGCTCTGCGGATGGAGGCCCGCCATGCACTAAGTCAGGCTGCTTCTCTGGCTGCTCCTGCTTCCCGGCACCCGGACCACCGCCCTGGCAGCTGGTGTGGTGAGCCCGCACAGCACGGTCCGGTACAGGACCAGGCACGCTGGGCAAGCAGCTGCAGACACCCTGGGCTGAGCGGAGCCAATGACCTCAGCAGAGCAGAAGGCGGCAAGAGGAAGTGGCAGTGCCTCATGACGGCTGAGAGGTCACCTGCATGCAGGACAGCAGCTGCTTCGAGAGGAAACGTGCCAGTTCCAGAGCAAGCAGACACAGAATCTCACCCCGACCCCAGGTCCCGGGCAGCAGGCATTTCTTAGTTATCCTTCCATCTTATTTGTGGTCCTGTGCACACAACCATCTTCTCCTCGCCTATAGCTGGCTGGTCACGGTCCTCTCTGTACACACCGTGTGCCACATGGGGGACTAGGCCTGGTGCACAGTGTGAAACCAGACAGGCCGGTTCCTCGCCCTCATGGGGCTTATAGCCAAAGGCTTAGGTTCTAGGGAGGAAATGAGGATAGAAGACAGACAACAGGAAAGTAAAAGTAAACACAGACAGTGGCTCACAATTGGAAACATAAAATGGGTGAGTATGTTTATCTGGAACTTTAGGAACATGTAGGCTGGGACTGGACAGAGGAGCCAGTCAAAGACCAAGGCAGCTGTGCTTGGGAAAACGGCAGGACTGCCTGCAAGGGCAGGAAAAGGACGCAAAAGATAGGAAAGATGAGGCCGGAGAGGCAGGCAGAGGCCAGGTCCCAAGGGCTTTGTGAGGAACATCGGGGAGCCCTAGGGGAAGCCACAGAAGTTTAATGTAACCTAAGAAGTGGTCATCCACCCCCCCCCGATATATATATATATATATATATATATATATATATATATATATATATATATATATATATATATATATATTTAACCCTTTGCACGCCGAACCATTCTGGACATTGGCTACCAGCTACTTGACGCTACTTTGCGGCGGAAACTCAATTCCCCGTAATCACTAATAAACTGCAATGTCCCCTGAGAGGGGACATCCGAGTGATATGCTAGAATTCCGATGTCCCCTGAGAGGGGACAGCGGAGTGCAAAGGGTTAAAATATAAATTATTGATTTTTTTACTGAGAGGAAGAGAGAGGGATAGAGAGTTAGAAACATCGATGAGAGAGAAACATCAATCAGCTGCCTCCTGCACACACCCCCACAACCAAGTTACATGCCCTTGACCGGAATCGAACCCAGGACCTTTCATTCCGCAGGCCGACGCTCTATCAACTGAGCCAAACCGGTTTCGGCGAAGTGGTCATTTTTAACTGGTTGAAGACATAAGCTTGAGATCTATTATGGAGCTAGAATTGTCAGAACTTATACTTAATAGCACCGCTCAACTTTTTAAAAAAAATTGACTTCAGCCCTAACTGGTTGGGATCAGTGGACAGATCCTCGACCTGCGGCTGAAGGTCTCAGATTGGATTCCAGTCAACAGCATGTACCTTGGTTGCGGGCACATCCCCAGTAGAGGGTGTGCAAGAGGCAGCTGATCAGCGTTTCTAACTCACTATCCTTCTCCCCTCTTCTCTGTAAAAAAAAAAAAATCAATAAAATATATATTTTAAAAAATTGATTTCAGAGAAGAATGGAGAGGTATAGAGAGACAGAAACATCAACGATGAGAATCATTGATTGACTGCCTACTGCACGCCCCCTACTGGGGATCAAGTCCAGCAACCCAGGCATGTGCCCTGACTGGGAAATGAACTGTGACCTTCTGGTTCATAGGTCAACCACTGAGCCATGCCAGCGGGAGTGGGTGGAGGACACTGCTCAACTTTTCAAGCAAAAAAATACATTAAAATGTCTTTAATCTATATTAGGCACTTGTGAGTTGAAAGGATGTGCTTCATAAGGTTTAAAATAATTTAAGATAAGGAAATGCTACACTCCAAACAATAGAACATCTTAGATTTGCAATAGATGGCAAGTATTCAAACCACCACACAAGTTTTAAGGCTAAAGAAAGCATTCACATCTGAATAGCAACTGACCTTACCACGCACAGATGTAGGGGACAGTTTGCCATTTAAAATTATAATATCAAATACCGCTCCCCACGTGAAAACATGCTCACCGGCGTTTGAAATCTTCTCGGAGCCGGCAGTGCCTGCATTTCCAGGGGCGACCAACACCTGTCTGACGTGAGGAGACCTCGCCAGGCTCCAGGCCAGCGTGTGCTCTCGGCCCCCGTTGCCCACGACGAGCACCCGGGCGGCCATGTCTGCGGGACTCCGGCAGGGAAAGCAGCTGCGGGAAGAGCAGGGACACGTCAGAAGGCACACGCGTTAGAAATCACGGTTCCAAAGTACGATGTCTACCCCTGCTCCTCTGTGGAACATTAGGGCTCCTAAGAAATACGGCTGCATTCCTAAGACATTAAAGAGGGCTTTACAACTGAGGCAGGCCGGCTAGAGAGCCACGTTAAGGAGTGAAATGACAACTTGACTCCTTAGTTGATTAAAACAACAACAAAACTCCCGCGAACAATAGCCCTTCTGTAGGCTTTGCGTCTGGAAGCTAGAGTAATCACCCACCTCAGGGAAACATGAATCCTGGTGTCCAGACCAGAATTTAAAGTAACTGTTTTCAAACCTCGACAATACACTTTGGGGTGACTGTGGCTCTGCCCAGGAGCGCCCCGCAAGAGGCTGTAGGAAGGTCAGGGGTTTGTAAAGCAGAACCAGGCTGCGTTTCAGCAGCTTTAGGCAGAGACATGGCAACGTGACCTTTATACTTCACATGTGCTGTGAAAACGTGCTTCCTTTAATCTTTTTCACCCGCTTGATGATGTGAAAACTATTCTTATTTAGTGCCTGTATAAAAACAGGTGACAGGAAGGACTGGTACAAGGGCCATGGTTTGCTGACCCCTGACTTAAGCAGTGAGTGCAATATGTCAGAAAATTCGCAGAGATGATGGCAAAAATCAAATCTGAACACATCTCACGTTAGTTCTGGCATTTGATTCTCAGCGCAACAGCTATCTCTCAGCTAAAGTTAGCAGTGGGATCCTGGATAAGCTCTATTTGTACTTCAATTTCTTCACATCTTAAAAGATGGGCGAAAACTTGCCTTACAAGAATGAACTGAAATAACATTTATATAAACAATCAGCACAATTTCTGACATTCAGCAGCAGTAAATGACACCTTGCTATATTTTATTACCTACTTTTATCTAAATTAATACTTTAGGGACAGAATAAATTTCAACAAGAAAAAAAAAAAAAAAAAAGCAAAAAACCAAAAAACACCCCTCCAATAATTTGTCACATTAATGTACTCATTTCCAGAGGCACTTATGTAGAAAAGAAACTGATAACAGGAAAAAGAAAACTGCAATCTTTATTCTTACTTGATAGTAGGGCTACACATTTAAGTAAAAAATCTAAGCCCTGCCCGGTTTGCTCAGTGGTTAGTGCACGCCTTGCACACGGAAGGCTCATGGGTTCACTTCCCCCACGTAGCTCAGCTGCACGAACGGACGTGTCTATCATATTCCCACTGTCTCTAAAAACCAATGGGAAAATATCCTCAGGTGAGGATTGAAAACGAAATCTAGCCCAACCGGTTTGGCTCAGTGGATAGAGCATAGGTCTTCAGTCAAGGGCATGTACATTGGTTGCGGGCCTATGCCCGGTAGGAGGGTGTGCAGGAGGCAGCTGGTCGATGTTTCTCTCTCATCTACGTTTCTAGCTCTCTATCCCTGTTCCTTCCTCTCTGTGGAAAATCAATAAAACATTAAAAAAAAAATCTAATCTGATGCTGTATTCCAAATGGTTATCATGAATTAATCTCCATAAGTCTATTAATCTCCATAAGTCTAGATACTACTCCCACTCCAGCTGTACAGATAAGAAAGGGAGGGATTAGCCCTGGCTGGGCTGGCTCAGTGGATAGAGCCACATGCCAGCGTTTGATTCAGTTCAAGGGCACATGCCTGGTTTGCAGGCTCAACCCCTTAGGGGGCGTGCAGGAGGAGATGATCCAGGATTCACTCTCATCATTGATGTTTCTCTCCCTCTCTCCCTCCCCCCCTCTCTCTCCTCCCTTCCTCTCTGAAATCAATAAAGATATACTTGAAAAAAGTGAGGTATTAGGTAGGTTAGTAACTTGCTGAAGGTCACAGGGTTAGAGGGGGTGGCCCCAGGATTGCAACACAAGCCATGTTCCATCTGGAACAACTGAGATGGGAATCACTGAAAATCTGAGGAAGAAAAAACTTCTGAATTATCGCCCCCGAGAGGGGAAAGCTCTTGTAGTTCGATGGGAACCACAGATGTGCCACGTGGAGGGAAGTGTGTGACATAAACACAGCTTTGCATTTCGTCTGAGTGAGAGCCCACACCAGGCGGGGCCAGGAGGCCTCGGCCAGAGCCGCGGTCTGGGGTGAAAGGGTCCCTAGAAGCAGACACCTCGCGGCCCTGACCCGGGCCCGGGTGCCTAACGGAGGACAGAACCAGACAGGCGAGCCGGGAAGCCCGGGGTGGCCTCGGGGGGGAACAGAGTAGGAAGCACGTGCAAAAGTGCACCCGTCCGCCGGAGACGAGGGGTGCACAGCAACTGCACAAGGCAACTCGGGGGGCCAACCCCGAACAGCCTGGGCCAGCACGGCCTGGACCTGGAGAGGCCAGGGCGGCGCGAGGGCGGCCTCGGTGAGGGGGAAGAGCAGGCACCCCAGGCCCCCACCCCGCGTTTACAACTCAGGTGAGGAGCCCTCCAGCCCGGCCCTTCCCCCCAGCTCCATCCCACTCCTGGCACCAGACCCCCCCGCGACGGCGCAGAGTACATTACAGAAGGCGGAGGGGCTCGCGCACCGACGCAGGGCGACCGGGTCCGCACGCCGCACTCACACACGCTCGCTGCGCGCCGCGCCGGAAGTGGCCGAGGGAGAGCGCGGCGCGCGCCGCCCGGGCCCCGCCCACCGCCGGCCCCGCCCCCCCGCGGCGGCCTCGCTCCCCATTGGCCGGCGCGCGCCGCGGCTCCGACCGCGAGGAACTGGGGCGTGAGGCGCCGGCGCTCTGGGGCGCGGTCCGAGGCGGGCGGAGCGGCCCCGGGCGGGCGCGTTCGCCGTTCGGCACCGTAGCGCGTGGGGCCGCCCGACGTCCCCCGCAGCCCCGAGGCGGGGGCGCCGTGAACGCTAGTAGCCACACGCAGCCAGTTCTGTGGCTAACGTGTCAGAACGGCCCGGTTCCCGGCCCGGAGGCACCGGGCTTTGAACGCAGGCTGCTCACGGCCTCCGGCCTATTGCTTCACCGGCTCCCCGCCGCTTACAGGGCGTCATGGGAGGTGGGGGGGATCGTGTTCTTCGAGTTGCATCACATTGGGGGCGGGCGCGGGTGGTGCTTCCCGGATCCCGGTCCCCGCTGAAACCACCCGGCGATGTGTGGGACCCCGTCCAACACTACGTCGCCCTTCGCGGAGGCTTCCCTTATGCCGTGTAACCCCGGGCATTGGGCAGCTAGAGCCCCCCGAGCCCCTAAACACCGCCGCCGGGGGATGACAAAGTCGCCTCGACAGGATCCTCCTGTAATGGCGCCTGCGTCACTCACTAACATGGCGGACAGGGCCGTGCGCGGCGCAAACGTCAGCAGCTCTACCCCGGCGGCTCGGAAACAGCGGAGGAGAGCCAGGCCGTGCGCTCTGATTGGTCGAGAGGCGGAGCGTGCGGAGCCAAACGCTCCCACGTGAGCCAATCAGCGCGGCGGCTCACGAAATTGGCCGCTGCGCCCGGTCCCGGGGCATTCTGGGAGCCTGGAGGACTAGCGAGGAGGAGTTGAGAGAACGGAGCGGACGCCATGGCGACCAACATCGAGCAGATCTTTAGGTCTTTCGTAGTCAGCAAATTCCGGGAAATTCAGCAAGAGCTCTCCAGGTAGGCGCTCCTCAGGCTCTTCTGCGCCGGAGGGACGGGTCGGGCCCCGCGGAGGGCACCTTTATTCACAGTCGCCGTCGTTCCTCGCCTCGGGCCCCGCGGCGGCCCCGCCTGGGCCCGGGATCCATTTTCCGCCCTCCGCCCGCCCCCCCCTCCGCTCGCTTCCCGGCGCGGAACTTGGCCCTTTCCACCGTCCGCCCGGCTCCCGCTCCTGAAACGGCGCCCCGGCGCCCGCCCCGCTTCTGTCCGGTCGCCCCCTGCCCTCCCGCGGCCGCGGCCCGCCGGGCGCCGCGCCGGCCTAGTTCCTCCTCGGCTCCTCCTCCGCCTCGCGTCTCCCCTCCCCCCCGCCGCCGCCGCCGCCGCCGGTGCCCGCGGCCGGAAAGGGTCTCCGCCGGCCGAGGCCCGAGCGGACTTAAATCCGCTTTGTCCCGGGAGCTCGGGCCGGCTCGGGGTCCGGATCCTCTCATTAGATTATCCGAGCCCCGACTCTGCCTTCCGGGCCTTCCGCCGGGCAGCGTCCTAATCGACTAGAAATTCAAATTAAAACGTCTCGACGCGACACAGTATCGGAGGTTATTGGGGAGGGGAGTCAGGCTCATGAGCCATTTCTTAACCGAGCAAGCGGACGGCGGGCTTTGTGTGTCGATACACATTTTCATTTTTGCTGCCCGCGTCCCCAGTGGACACACCGGGATAACGCGTTACTCGCCATTGCGGGTCGGCCGGTGCTCGGTCCCACGGAGTTAACCGGGCAGGTTCCGGGGAGGAGCTGTCGGCTCAGGAGGGAAACGAGCAGGGGGGGGGGGGGGGCATGTTGTTCACCGGTTGGTGGTCGACGTGTTTGGGGCCGTAGGACGCATTTGGTGCGATTTCACAGGTTTTCGGTAGTTTGCGTCCCACAAGCCGAGAGCGAGAGCAGGACGTCCATTTGAACCCAGCCGAGAGCGCCGTTGGAAATGAAGTTATTGGGGCCGTGGCACGCAGACCCGGGATTGTTTAGGACCAATCCTGAACAGGGCGTGCTATTTTAAGTGGGGAACGTATCCGCTCATTCAGCTCGTTCCTTTTACAAATTTTGTCACTGCGTGCTCGTGTTTTTAGGGCAATGAGGAGAAAGATTTGAGATAATGGAAGATGTATTTTTGATTAATAGTCACGCAAATAAGTGATTGCGTTTGCTTATTGTAATGTCTTAATGCCCTTAAGAAATCAGTTTTATTAGGAATTAAGTTTGTAAAAATTTTTTTGGAAAAAAAATTAAGAGCCTCTACATAGTCATTGATGTTCTTTTCCCTCTCCGTGCATACAGAAGCACAGACATGTTTTGTGAAGTGTGATCATCTTGTGTAGTGTTGATTTTTCACCTAAGAATTGTGAGCAAGTTTGTCTTTTGTCACAATCTCGGTAGTCTTTTGGGATATTTTTTCATGGTTCCATTGAATTTTGTTGTATCCATGGATATTTAGGATGTTTGAAATGTTTATCTCAAGTATTTGCTGTAAGCATTCTAAAAGCTTTAAGATGATTACATTGTCGTTTACTTTTTTTTTTTTTTTTTTTAGTTGTGCTTTTTCTGATTTTTAAATCCGTTGCTTTTTTAGTAAGGTAATTATGTATGTTTAAGTGCTTAAGATAGGTGCAAAAAAAATTAAGAACTCCTGACGAAAGTCGAAAAACAATGTTAGACAACACAATTTATTACTAGAGGAATATTAGCTTCTCAGGTAACATGCAATACATTATTGGTCTAAAATGAGTTAGATTAGCTATTAAAGTAAATGGTGGTTAAGAGTATGAGTTCTGGCTTTAAATACCTGCTTCACTTCTTGATAGCTGTGTGACCTTCAGCTAGGTTTCTTGTCTTTTCTGGGCCTCATTCCTCATTTATAAAACCAGAGTGATAGTGCTGATTTCAGAGTTTGGTTAGGATTAAGTGAGTTTGAAAGTGTAGAACCTTGTTTTTTTTTTTATTATGGTTTTTATTGTAGTAGAAAACCAAATTTTTTAAATAAGTTAACTTTGCTGATTTATTTTTTTGGAATTTCAGACTTTTATCAGGTAGTGGAGCATAATTCTGTTTTGTTAGCTAAAAGTTAAGTTGAACGTGTTGTTGAAATTATTTTTTAAAAACAATTTTGCAAATTACACAAAATAGTAAAAATGACTGGATAAATGGCATGTCCTTATGTCTGTTACGATTCTTCATGTAAAAACAAAACAATAGGGAGAGCAGAGAGACGTGGTTGTGAGGTGTTGGTGAAAGGGGTCAATTGTAAGGTGATGAATGAGTGGTGCGTGAATACAGATGTTAAATTGCAATGTTGTACACCTGAAATGTTTGTATATATTATATATACACACAAACACAATAATCTTACCTCAACTAAAGGAATTCCTTTGGCACTGTGAATTGAAATATATTAAGCCATCCATTCATTGTTGGTATAAGTGAATTGTTACTTCATGTGAAATTTTTTGATCTCCATAAATTTAATAATGAAATTTTTAAAGTATATTTTTTATTGTTGATGGTATTACAGATAATTACTAGGGTTTTTGTGACTGGGTAAAAATTATGTATATTTTTATTTTAAATATGTTTTTAAAATAATTGATTTCAAAGGGAGGGAGAGTTAGAAAGAAACATCAATGATGAGAGAATTGATAGGCTGCCTTGCCCATACTGCAAGCCCCCTGGTGGGGATCTAGCCTGCAACCTCGGCAGGTGTCCTGACCAGGAATGGAACTGTGATTCATAGGTTGAGGCTCAACCACTGGCTGGGCTAATATATTTTTCTTTGAAAACTTTTTGGCATTTTATTAACCGATGAGAGCCTATGTGTTACCCTTTTACTTGGTGTTCATTGTTGTTGATTGTGATCCATGGCAGGTGTGGCTTTGTGATGGCTATAGCTTCTATTATAATAGTCATATATATTTGGGAGGATTTTTTTATTGTGATTTTATTGACTTTTCTCTCCTGAGATAAGTATGCAGGTAAACTAAAATCTCATTCAGTTTACATTTCTGGGAGCATTTTATTTTTTAAAAAGATAGGCTTAGAAACCTGTTTTAAAGATTTTTTCTTCACTTTCATGATCCCCAAAACTTTAATTATGTGAAAACAACAATGTACCAACTGTAAGTAGGAAGTGTTAAAGAAGTACAACTGGTAGGAAATACCACCTGGAAGTAATACAGAAATTGTGAAATGTGTTAATATAAGATTATTTAACTAATTGAATTACAAGTGTTAATTTGTTACATGGTATGGTAAAAAAAAAATATTAATGAATTTTGATAAACTTTTCTTGTCAAGTGGAAGGAGTGAAGGCCAGCTCAATGGTGAAACAAACACACCTACTGAAGGAAACCAGGCAGGTGACGCAGCTGCCTCTGCCCGGAGCCTGCCAAATGAAGAAATAGTCCAGAAGATAGAGGAAGTGCTTTCTGGGGTCTTAGATACAGAACTCCGCTGTAAGCCAGGTAAGTGGGAGATAATCAGCTGTCTAAAAAGCCTGAAGATTTTTTTTTAACGGCCTAACAGTAGATCTAATGTGCAGTAGATCTAGGACTTCAGTAAATCTAAGTTTTAGTTTAATCGGTTTACTGAAAATGTTGTTTGACTTTGAAATATGAGTAATGATGCACTTGTTGGCTTTGGTGGTGGGACATGACTTTGATTTAGCCTTCTGCCAAGGAGTTTGAAAGCAGGTTTTCATTGAACAATTGTATAAATGTCCATCTTGGAAGGTTCAGGAGCCGGGACCACGTTTGTAATGACTAAAACCCCGGGAGGTTTTATTTAAAACCACGTGTAGAGATTGCCTTGTTTTTGTATCTACCCCTCTTAAAAGTGCAGTGAATGCAAAGGAATCATCGCTTGGATATATATTGCATTTTTGGAATTGGTTAAATAATTGATGCTTAGAAATGAAAACTTTAGGAATAAAAGTTGTCAGCTACAAAAATTACAGTATTTTCATTTAGTTTTAGAAATTGTGACCTATCATTTTTTTTCATTTTCATTTTTAAAGTTTTTTGTTTTTTTACTTAGGAATAGGATAGTCTTTAAAAAAATTTAGAGAGGGAGAGATAGATAGAAACATCAGTGATGAGAGAGAATCATTGACTGGCTATCTCCTTCACGCCTCGCAACCCAGCCATATGCCCTTGGCTGGAATCAAACTTGTGAGTCTTCAGTCTGCAGGCCGACGCTCTATCCACTGAGCCAAGCTGGGCTCATTAAAATTTTTTTTTTAATTAAAATATTTATTTTGGGTATAAGATATGGTTAAAAAGCATTGACTTTAGCCATACTTAGATTCATGGGTCCTTGTATCTTTTTCTTTTAATGTATTTTTGTTGATTTCAGAGAGGAAGGAAGAGGAAGAGATAGAAACATCAAAGATGAGAGAGAATCATTGATCGGCTGCCTCCTGCACACCCCATCCTGGAGATGGGGCCCAAAACCTGGGCCTGTGCCCATAACCAGAATCCAACCTATGACCCTTTAGTCCACAGGCCGACGTTCTGTCCCCTGAGCCAAACCAGCTAGGGCCTAGCAACTTTTTATTGATTGAAGTATAACTTAGCTACCTAACAATTTGCTACATAATAAACAATTGATAGAAACTGTTTTATTTTTTCCATAACTTTAATGGACTAAGTTTATAATCAGCTTTATCTGGGATCACTAACATTTATTTAACTTGATACTCCCATCTGGTTCTAAAGTGGAATATAAACTACTTCACTTCAGATGAATTGACATATTCTTTAAAAAAATATTTTTGTTTCAGAGAGGAAGAGAAAGGGAGAAAGAGATAAAAATATCGATGATGAGAGAATCGTTGATCAGCTGCCTCTGCACGCCTCCCATTGGGGATGAGCCTGCAGCCCAGACATGAGCCCTGACCGGGAACTGAACTGTGACCTCTTGTTCATAGGTTGACGCTCAGCCACTGAGCCACACCGGCCGGGCCAAATGTTCTGTTTTTTGTCAATCCTTATCTGAGGATATTGAAATATTCTTAAGTTATATGTTAAGGTCTGTAAGAAATTTGTTTCCAAAATGTTTTTTGGAGAAACATTAAAATTGTTAGCAATTTTAGAAGATTATTGTGGGAAAGGATATTTTCATTAGGATGTAACAGGTGAGATGAAGATAAGTTCAAGTTCTATATTGATACTTGCCATTTGTTATTCAGACTTAAGTTGTAAGAGCAATCACTAGCATTCATTGAGGGCTTACTTGCACCAGGCATTATCCTATGTGCTTTGTATGTTTTAACTCACTTCATCCTTGACTCTAGGTTGCAGTGTTAGTACTTTGGCCCAGTCCATTCATCCAGTTAGTGGTGGGTTGATTCAGGATTTGAAAGCAATCAGCTTGTTCCAGATCCAGTGCCACGTTACTTTCTGAATAAATAGGGTTACAAAATACAACAATTACTTAACTATTTTATTTTTAATAAGAGAAAATAAAATTTTTTTTGAGAAAATAAAAATTTTAATACCTATGGGGAATTCACATAAGCATGAAAATTCCACTTGGGATTTTTAAGGCATTAACAATTGATAATATGAAAGATTCATCTATAAGTAAGTTTCCTATAATTTGAGAGCTGCAGAAAATAATTGTTTTAAATTAATTTAATTGAAACATTTTAATTCTAAAGCTTTTTGTTATAAACTACGAACTTAAAAAAATTATTTTAATCCTTCCCCAAGAGTATGTTTTCATTAATTTTTTTTAGAGAAGCTAAGTGGGGAGGGAGAGAGAGAGAGAGAAACATCTATTGGTTGTTTACCTCCCATAAGTGCCCCAACCGGGGATCAAACCCATAACCTAAGTATGTGCCCTGACCAGGAATTGAATTCACAACCTTTTGGTGTGCAGGACTATGCTCCCATCAACTGAGCCAGCCAACCAGGCCATAAGCTAAGAACTTGTTTTTCACCCAATCTTTAGTTGTAGAAGTATTGGACAAGTGTCAATATGCAGATAATTGGCTTATGAAAAATAGTTTATTTGGTATCTTTTTATTTAACAAGAAGTGTTATACTGTGGTGTCTTATCATGGAATGTAAATCTTGGCTAATATGATTGACTTAAACCTACTATGAGGAATGTTTGACAAATTAAAATTAATTTCTCAATTCCAGACTTGAAGGAGGCCTCCAGAAAAAGTAGATGTGTGTCTGTACAAACAGACCCTACTGATGAAGTTCCCACCAAAAAGTCAAAGAAACATAAAAAGCACAAAAATAAAAAGAAGAAAAAGAAGAAAGAAAAGGAAAAAAAGTATAAAAGGCAGCCAGAAGAATCTGAATCAAAGCTGAAATCACATCATGAAGAGAGCATGGATTTAGAATCAGATTCCTTTTCGAAGTTTGATTTGGAGCCTTCAGCAGTGGCACTGGAGCACCCTGTGAGAGCCTTCGGGCTGTCTGAGAGCAGCGAAACTCCTGCAGCCGAGCCAGAGCCTCCTGTGGCGTCGGTGGAGGCATCACAGCCACACACCTTAGCTACAGACACTGCAGCCCTGTCCGCTGCATCTACATCAGTGATCTCTCTGCAGCCAGAACAGACCGTGGCGGCAATGCCGGAACCACCCATGACAAAGATGCTGGATGCTTTTTCCACAGCACCGGTGTCTACCACAACAGCAGTGCTAACGTCACCTGAGCCCGCTGTAACGATGTCGGGGGAGTATCAGATGAAGTCCGTGCTGAGATCTTGGGAGTGCACGTCTCCAGAGCCATCAAAGACCGTATTGGAGCCCCCAGTGGCAAAAGTGCCAGAGCCATCAGAAACCCTTAGGGCATCAGCACAGACATCTGTGGAGGTACTCCCTGAGCCAAGCACATCGACAGCAATGGATATTCCAGAGTCTTCTGACACTGAGGACCTAGGATTGCCAGAGCAGCCTGCGGAAGTACCACCGGAGCCCGCAGAGTCACCCATGACAAGAGCACAGGAGCTGCCCAAGCCCACAGCGGCGGAGCTGCCGGAGTCGCCGGTGGCCTCAGCGATGCAGTTGCCGGGGCCACCTGCGACCTCCACGCCGGAGTTGCAGGGGCCCCCTGTGACTCCCGGGCTGGAGTTACCTGGGCCCTCTGCCACCCCGGTGCCAGAGCTGCCAGGGCCCCCTTCTACCCCAGTGCCCGAGTTGCCAGGGCCCCCTGCGACAGCAGTGTCTGAGTTGCCGGGGCCTTCGGTGACATCAGTGCCTCAGTTGTCGCAGGAATTGCCGGGGCTTCCAGCACCATCCATGGAGTTGGAGCCATCACAGGAGGTGCCAGAGCCACCTGTGATGGCACAGGAGTTGCCAGTGCAGCCTGCGGTAGCAGTAGCAATGGAGTTGACCGAGCAACCTGCGACGGCGGCAGAGTTGGAGCAGCCTGTGGGGATGACAGCGATGGAACATCCTGGGCAGCCTGAGGTGACAACAGCAACAACGTTGCTGGGTCAGCCTGAGGCAGCCATGGTGCTGGAGTTGCCAGGGCAACCAGTGGCAACGACAGCGCTGGAGTTGCCAGGGCAGCCTTCGGTGACTGGGGTGTCCGAGTTGCCAGGGCTGCCCTCGGCAACTAGGGCGCTGGAGTTGTCTGGGCAGCCTGTGGCAACTGGGGCCCTGGAGTTGCCTGGGCAGCTCATGGCAGCTGGGGCACTGGAGTTCTCGGGGCAGGCTGGGGCAGCTGGAGCGCTGGAGCTTTTGGGGCAGCCCCTGGCAACGGGGGTTCTGGAGTTGCCAGGGCAGCCTGGGGCGCCAGAGTTGCCTGGGCAGCCTGCGGCAACTGTGGCGCTGGAGATCTCTGTTCAGTCTGTGGTGACAACGGAGCTGTCAACGATGACCGTGTCGCAGTCCCTGGAGGTGCCCTCGACGACAGCGCTGGAATCCTACAATACGGTAGCACAGGAGCTGCCTGCTACATTAGTGGGGGAGACTTCTATGACAGTAGGAGTGGATCCCTTGATGGCCCAAGAATCCCATATGTTAGCGTCCAACACCATGGAGACCCATATGTTAGCGTCCAACGCCATGGACTCCCAGATGCTAGCGTCCAACGCCATGGACTCCCAGATGTTAGCGTCCAGCTCCATGGACTCCCAGATGCTAGCGTCCAGCTCCATGGACTCCCAGATGCTAGCTTCCAGCTCCATGGACTCCCAGATGCTAGCTTCCAGCTCCATGGACTCCCAGATGCTAGCGTCCAGCTCCATGGACTCCCAGATGTTAGCGTCCAGCTCCATGGACTCCCAGATGTTAGCAACCAGCTCCATGGACTCCCAGATGCTAGCATCCAGTTCCATGGACTCTCAAATGTTAGCAACCAGCTCCATGGACTCCCAGATGTTAGCAACTAGCTCCATGGACTCCCAGATGTTAGCCACCAGCACCATGGACTCCCAGATGTTAGCAACTAGCTCTATGGATTCTCAGATGTTAGCATCTGGCACTATGGACTCTCAAATGTTAGCTTCTGGCACCATGGATGCCCAGATGTTAGCGTCTGGCACCATGGATGCCCAGATGTTAGCATCTAGTACCCAAGATTCTTCTATGATGGACTCAAAATCTCCTGACGCCTACAGATTAGCTCAGGATCCTTACAGGTTAGCTCAGGATCCCTATAGGTTAGGTCATGACCCTTATAGGGTAGGTCATGATGCATATAGATTAGGGCAAGACGCTTATAGATTAGGCCATGATCCCTACAGACTAACTCCTGACCCCTATAGGATGTCACCTAGACCTTACAGATTATCACCCAGGTCCTATAGGGCCGTTCCCAGACCTTACAGGTTAGCACCTAGACCCCTGATGTTAGCATCTAGACGTTCTATGATGATGTCCTATGCTGCAGAACGTTCTATGATGTCATCTTATGAACGCTCTATGATGTCATCTTATGAACGCTCTATGATGTCCCCTATGGCTGAGCGCACCATGATGTCGGCTTATGAGCGCTCTATGATGTCAGCCTATGAGCGTTCTATGATGTCCCCTATGGCCGAGCGCTCCATGATGTCAGCTTACGAGCGCTCTATGATGTCAGCTTATGAGCGCTCCATGATGACTGATCGATCAATGATGGGTGACCGGTCTATGATGTCATCTTACTCTGCTGCCGACCGGTCTATGATGTCATCATATTCTGCAGCTGACCGAACTATGATGTCATCTTACACTGATCGTTCAATGATGTCGATGGCAGCTGATGCTTACACCGATTCTTATACTGATACGTATACAGAGGCATACATGGTGCCACCCTTGCCTCCTGAAGAGCCTCCAACAATGCCACCGCTGCCACCTGAAGAGCCACCAATGACTCCCCCATTGCCTCCCGAGGAACCACCGGAGGGCACAGCATTACCCACTGAGCAGTCAGCATTAACAGCTGAAAATTCTTGGCCTACTGAGGTGCCAACATTACCTCCTGAAGAGTCTGTATGCCTGCCTGAGCCGCCTGCGAGTCAAAGTGAGATTTCTGAGCCTTCGGTAGTGCCTGCTCATTATTCAATGTCAGCATCAGAGCCTTCAATGTCAGCATCAGAGGCTGCCATGACTGTCCCAGAGCCACCACTGGAGCCAGAGTCTGGGGGTGCAGCAACACCTATGGGGACTGCTGCAGTAACAGAAGAGCATGGAGTTCCAGAGAGACCAGGGACTTACATGGTGTCTGAAACTACCATGATGTCAGCCGAACCAACTTTGTTAACATCAGAGCCTTCTGCTGTGTCAGAGACTGCAGAAACCTTTGATTCCATGAGAGCTCCAGGACATGTCACCACAGAGGTATCAGTGTCCCTCCTGGAGCCCGCAGTAACTATTCCAGAGCCATCACAGAGTGCTCCAGAGCTGTCAGCCATGGCCATCTCAGAGTTCCCCTCCGTGGCTGCCCCGGAGCCCCCATCCGTGGCTGCCCCGGACCCCCCAGCCGAGGCTGCCCCAGAGCCCTCAGCTGAGGTCCCCGAGCCCCTGGCGGGGACTCTCCCTGGGCCACTGGCCATGGCTGTACTGGAGCCATCACCTGAGGCTGTCGCAGAGCCCGTGGCCTTGGTGGAGCCAGAGCATGTTACCATTCCTGTGCCAGTGGTTTCTGCCCCAGAGCCTGTCCTGGAACCAGCAGTGTCCGTTCAGCCTAACAGTAATTCAGAACCACCTGTTCCTGTCCAAGAATCTGCGGTGACAGTTGCAGAGCCTGCTGTCACCGTCTCAGAGCAGACTCAAATAATACCAGCCGAGACGGCTTCAGAGTCTCCGTCTGCTTTGCTGAAGTCTGGTAATATAACAGGAATGAACTTAATATCGACTTATCAAGATCTTACTCCAGAGTTTGGTGTGCAGGAGGCTTCCCTGCACTCAGATGAAGAGCCGCCTGCGGAAGAGCACCTGAAGAATGACCCTTGTGAAAGTGAACATGGTGTGAGTGGAGACCTTGACGTAAACGATCGTTTCATTGCTAAAGAGGAGGAACGTGGCACCATGTCCTCTGCCAGCACTGGTGCTGTTGGTGAAACTGGTGGAGAGAGAGTGCTGGCCGGCAGTGAGACTGAACAGTGCACAGTATTGGACACCTGCCCTAGTGTTAGTGAGGCTGATGGGGGAACGCTGTCCTCCGCCGGCCCTCTTGCTGTTGAGCCTGATGCCCAGGGGGCTAGTGCGGGTGCTGACTTTGCCACGGCATCTGCTCTCAGCTCCCTTAGTAAATATGATGTTGAAACTACTCAAGACACTGAACATGACATGGTGATTTCCACTAGCCCCAGCGGTGGCAGTGAGGCTGACATAGAGGGACCTCTGCCTGCTAAAGACATTCATCTTGACTTGCCATCTAATAGCTTTATTAGCAATGAAGCAGAAATGCCGCTGCCTGCAAAAGAGAGCGACCAGGCATTCACAGTCGCTCTCAGCCCTAAAGAAAGTAGTGACGATAAGGAGGCACCACTCCCTGCTAAAGAGCCAGGGTCCGACCCGGGAATTCCCGCCAACATTGAAGACATCAACGAGGCAGACCTAGTGAGACCGCTACTTCCCAAGGACATGGAGCGTCTCGCGAGCCTCCGAGCTGGTGTTGAAGGGCCTTTACTTGCGAGTGAAGCGGAGCGGGGCAAGGCCGCCGCCAGTCCAGCTGTGAGCGGTTTGCCCGAAAGAGCCTCGGAGTCCTCTTCGGAGGAAAAAGATGATTATGAAATTTTTGTGAAAGTTAAGGACACACATGAAAAAAGCAAGAAAAAGAATCGTGATAAAGGTGAGAAAGAAAAGAAGAGAGACTCTTCGTTGAGATCTCGAAGTAAGCGGTCCAAGTCTTCAGAACACAAGTCCCGCAAGCGAACCAGTGAGTCTCGTTCTAGGGCGAGGAAGAGGTCCAAGTCCAAGTCTCGTCGCTCTCAAACGCGTTCAAGGTCACGTTCAAGACGCAGGAGGAGGAGCAGCAGGTCAAGATCCAAGTCTAGAGGAAGACGCTCCGTGTCAAAAGAGAAGCGCAAAAGGTCTCCGAAGCACAGATCCAAGTCCAGGGAAAGAAAGAGAAAAAGATCAAGCTCCAGGGATAACCGGAAAAGCGGGAGAGCTCGGAGTCGAACCCCAAGCCGGCGGAGTCGGAGTCACACTCCGAGTCGGCGAAGAAGATCTAGATCTGGGGGGAGAAGGAGCTTTAGCATCTCCCCGAGCCGGCGGAGCCGCACCCCGAGCCGGAGAAGCCGAACCCCGAGCCGGCGGAGCCGCACCCCGAGCCGGAGAAGCCGAACCCCAAGCCGGCGGAGCCGCACCCCGAGCCGGCGGAGCCGAACCCCGAGCCGGAGGAGCCGAACCCCGAGCCGGCGGAGAAGATCACGGTCTGTGGTGAGAAGACGAAGCTTCAGCATTTCCCCGGTCCGGCTGAGGCGGTCACGGACACCCCTGAGGCGAAGGTTTAGCAGATCTCCCCTCCGCCGGAAACGGTCCCGGTCTTCGGAGAGAGGCAGATCGCCCAAACGCCTGACCGATCTGAGTGAGTTATTGAAATGTGATGGCAGAGCGTGGCTTAACTCTTTCTCCTGCTCTTTGAGTCAAAGGGATATTTTGGGTTACTGGTTTATAGAATTAATATTTCTCTTTAAATTTCTTTAATAGCTAAGCTTGTGTTTAGAAAATGTAGGGATAAGTATTGTGTAGTTGGAGTTCAGAGACCTACTTTGGAGCATGTGGAACCAAGGTGGTCCCATCCGTGAATGCTTTACTTTGCTTGAACCCGGCTTCCATAACCAGAAACGGGAATTAGAAGTCCAGTTAAGCTCAGGCTAGTATATGCTTAGATTGTTATTGTATGTGTTTCAACATGAACCTTTATAAATAAGCCTACAGTTACAGTACTTCTTCCGAGGTCAATTACATGTCTTAAAATGGCAACATCGGACCCTTAAGTGTTTGTGTAGGTTATTCTAATGATATAACGGGAGCGAAAGTATATAGGGAAGTTTGTATGTGGGGAGTTATTTACCTCGGTAGAATTAAGTGATATTAAAGCAGTCTTCCTTAAAAAAAAAAAAAAAAAAGTACTCTTGTGTCCCTGATTTTAAGAAGGGCACATAGATGGCTAAAGCTTGTGGGATAATGCATGACTGCCTACAGAAATAATGGATAATTATTATCCCAGGAGTTGAACATTTCCAAGTTAGTGTTGTCTAAAGAAAAAGATGCCTAGCTGGTGTGGCTCAGTGGATAGAGCATCAGCCTGTGGACCAAGGGTCCTGGGTTTGATTCCGGTCTAGGGCACGTACCTTGGTTGCAGGCTTCTTTCCCACCCAGGGCCTGGTTGGGGCGCATGCAGGAGGCAGCCATTCGATGTGTTTCTCTCACATCGATGTTTCTGTCTTCCCCTCTCCCACTCTCTGAAAGATCAACAGGAAAATATCCTCGGATGAGGATTAGCAACAACAAAAAAGGATTGTAACAGAACAATAAGGGAGCATGCGTTCAGTTCAACAAAAAGTTTTGAGTTCTTTTTTTTATTCAAAGTAGAGGAATAGTATTTAATTCCTGAAGTGATTACAAGTTAGTAGAGGAGACGTGGATAAAATACATCTATGTCTCTTTTGCCAAATAGTAAAACTGCCAAAAAGAGCAGCAGGTTAATGATTGCTGCAAGTACTGGTGTAGGTGAGGCACCTTGAAAGCACAGTGGAGAAGAAAGTTATGACTTAAGACTTGTTAGAAATGGTGACACTTGAATTGGGATCAAGTGGCTTATAAGTGGTTTCAAATGTCAGATATTTGAAGAAAATAAATTTTTAAGGAATTTTTTTTTAAGAGGGAAAGAGAGAAAGAGACATTAATGTGAGAGCAAAACGACAGGCTGCCGTTTGCACGCCCCTTACTGGGAACCAAACCTGAAACGTGGCATGTGCCTGATCAGGAATTGAACCTTCAACCTTTTGGTACACGGAATGACAGTCACTGAGCCACAGTGGTGGGGCCAAAAGGAAAGTGATTCTAAGGGCATGATAATTTTGGGAAACAAAGTAGGTTTTGGCAGGTATGTGACAAGGTTACATTTAGTATTTTCTATGGTATTTGCATGGAAACCTAAAAGTGGACCTAAATATTTTTTTAAAATGTTTTTTTTTTATTGATTTTAGAGAGGAAAGGAGAGAGAGAGAAACATTGATCAGCTGCCTCCTGCATGTTTTTCAGGGTTCAAACTGGCAACCTGGGCATGTGCCTTGATCTGGAATTGAACCGTGACCTTCTGGTTCATAGGCCAATGCTCAACCACTGGGCCACACCAGCCAGGCTGGACTTAATTTAAATAGGCATGCTCTCAAAACTTTGAGTCAGAGAGTGACTTGATTACTGTTGTAAGTTAGAGCCGAAAGTCGATGTTAGCATATAAAACTTAAGATTATACACATCAATAGCCTTTTGGGAAAACGGCTCCTTGTATTTCTCTTACAGATAAAGCTCAGTTACTTGAAATCGCCAAAGCCAACGCGGCTGCCATGTGCGCGAAGGCCGGCGTCCCTTTGCCGCCGAACCTGAAGCCAGCACCGCCGCTCTCCCTGGAAGAGAAGGCGGCTAAGAAGTCCGGAGGAGCGACTATCGAGGAGCTGACGGAGGTAAGCGAGGCAGAATTTGTTTCAATTCCTAAATGGATTATTCCAGTGATGTTGACTCTGGAGCGTGCCAAAACCCGAATTGTGGGCTGAACTGATAATGGCTGGCACCGAGTGGCCAAAACCCGAAATACAGGTGTGGCAGCGGCAGAAGCTCTGTTTAGCAGGCCATTATCCGGGACGGCTAAGCTCCGCCAGCTAAAAGTTACTTCCCATTACTTTTGCTTTCCAGTTTTAGAAGCCAAACTGACTGAGGAGAGGGACGGTTCGTTTGAATGGAGGAGGTGTTGAGTGAGCAACACGCAGAAGCTCGCCTACAGTTTCGTTCCCATTCACGACGTGCTCACTGATCGCCACGAGTGTACTGCATATACGCAAAGACACAGACAATCTTCAGAAATGATCTTTTGCCACCGGAGCTTGGAAATTAATGAGAATAGCTGGCCATTGCCTGAAAGGAACTTCTTTCGCATCATCATTTCGGGTTTTGGCTGTTTGGAACCAGCCATTGGTGATAATGGCCGGCCATTATCAGTTCTTCCTTGCGGTTCGGGTTTTGGCAGTAACATATATTTTAAACACACTTATTTTTGTTCTTAAGAATTTGATCTTTTCAAATGAGGCTTGTTTTTGGCTTTGTTTTATTAATATTATTTTGTTTGTTTGGGGGGAGGGAAGAGGATGCTGAAATATTGCTGCTAGGATCCAGAAATACCACACTGTTTCATATATTGAAACTTGCTATCGGCTAGCCTTATGCCAGCTGCCACTGTCAATATATTCTGTTCCCCTTGGTTACAAGCGTAGCATACTGTTTTTGGCTAAATGAGCTTTATATCCTATTGTAATATTTTCAATCAATAATGGATGTGACATTCTGCTTGTAAGAGACAAATCTGCCCAGATTTACTCTGACCTTTTTATAAAACCAGGTAACGGAGTGACTTTGCTGAGTGTCAGAACTCATCCGTTACACCCTCTCCATCAGGCCTTATTTCCCAATCTTGAGTTATACTCTTCAGAGACTCACCTACAAGACATTTATGGAGAGATACTGCTATCCAATCCTATGCAATGTTTCACATCTTGCATTTTACCATACCTTTGGGGATCATAAAGTTTCTTAATCTGTTTCATCATTTAGATTGACTACAACATGAATTACAACTTTTTTTTTAATTTAAGGATCTAGTAAAGGCTTTTATTATTTGCTTATCAAACCCAAACTCCTTATCCAAAACGTATGAACACAGTGTTTCCTATGTTTTTATCCTTATCATTAGCCCTCTTCTCCCTCCTAATGAGTTTCCTTTTCGCTTTTTTTTTTTTTTTTTTTTTTTAAACCACCACCTGGCTAGGATCAACTACTTTTCCTTTCCCTGCCAGTCCTTGTTCTTAACTATGAAAATCTGGCTTTGAACTCTTCAAGGACTATCCTTTGATGATTAAATTCTGCCTGATTCTATTCTCTCCTAAGCTTTTGTTCTCTCGGCACTTAAGTACTCGGTTTGTATTTTATCAGTTTGCACTTGTTGTGTTGCTCTGTAAAAGCGTTCCTCAATTATTTCACGTGTATGGATCTGTCTCTGAACTAGATTGTAAGCTCCTTGGGAGCAGGGACCATGTCTTCTCCTTTCTTTGTAGACCCTGGTCAGTGCCCAGCACAGTGCTCTGCACAGGGTAGGTGCTCAATAAACGTTGTTGGCTGGCCGGCTAGAGTGTGTTTAAATAATACTGACGAGCCACGTTTGCTATCTACAACCCACCGTCAATCTTGTTTTAGTTTGGAAAGTTGATTTTATGTGGTTTTCATTCTTTTAAGAAAGAACCTTTTATATTTTACCTAAAGTGTAAGATTTATCTTGTTTGTTTTTACTTTTTAAGAAATGCAAACAGATTGCACAGAGTAAAGAAGATGATGATGTGATAGTGAATAAGCCTCATGTTTCGGATGAAGAGGACGAAGAGCCGCCTTTTTATCATCACCCCTTTAAGCTCAGTGAACCCAAACCCATTTTTTTCAACCTGAATGTGAGTATTCGTGTTTGTGGAATGATTAAAACAGCAAAACTTGTGGGACTTTTAAATATTTAAATAAGACTCAAATGGATGTTAGTTTAATTTTTGAATTAAATTCCGACAAGTAAAGAACAAAGTCATTTGGAGACTGCTGAAGAGTAGTTAAGAAACTTTACTCTTTTAGATTGCTGCAGCGAAGCCCACTCCTCCAAAGAGCCAGGTCACGCTAACAAAAGAGTTTCCGGTGTCGTCCGGATCCCAGCACCGGAAGAAGGAAGCAGACAGCGTGTACGGAGAGTGGGTGCCGGTGGACAAGAACGGGGAGGAGAAGAAAGAGGACGACAATGTTTTCAGCAGCACTCTGCCCTCGGAGGTGAGTGAGGAATATTTATGTGTTTCTGTTTTTATGCCTGAACCTGCCATTTTGTTGTTACTTATGTCTGATTTGGCTTCTGTTTCACTCTTCTTAGGGCCGGGGTAAACGGCAGGGCCGGGTTAAACGCCAGATGAAACAGCCCGCAGCTTCTCATTTGACAGTAACTCGATGCAGTTCACTTTGTGGAGCCAAGCCACAAAGTGAAAAGCATCGAATTGCAGAGAACAGTGTTGTCACCTCCCTCCCCAACATTGGGCCCTCCTTGCACTTGTGGGAAGGGAGCCCGCGGTACAACTACCTAGCGTCCCGTTTCGCTTCGAGGCTCTATAGCTCTAGGTTCTGGTGGTAGCAGGTGTCCTGGGCGGAGGGACTGAGCGACAGAGGCAGATCCTCAGGTTCAACACAAGAAGTGGACGGAAAAGGTCACTGTAGGCTGATGGGAGCGTCTTGAATACATAGCCCATTGCCCTTAAGTAATGCTCTCTCACTGTTCCTCGGGGTTGTTGTCAGATAGCCTTTACTTTGATCATTTCCCTCCCCGTGCTCCTTGGCCCTTTGGAATTCTTGTGTTTAACCTAATGCTCAGCCATGGTGTACTCCCTTTCCCTTCTCCTCCTCTTTTTGCCACTAATGAAAGCTGGAGAATGGGACCCACACCTGACCTTTTCACCAGGCTATAGTTGTATCTTGTCATGATGCAGTGATAACCAGTGTCAAAACAACCCCTTAAAATGCCACCTGATTTAAATAATGTGCTGCTAAATATAGTGCACATGAAAACAGCAAGACTGTATATATATGTAAATATATATATATATATGTATCTTTGTATGTACCTCTGTATCTGTACCTTTGCTGTATCTTTTAATAAACAGTTTACTTTTATTTAACTTGTTGTGCAAAATCACGCTTGGGGGATACGGGAGGGCGGAGACTTCCCGGGGGGGTGGGAGTTAACAATACCATAGACTAGTCATTGCCCTCGCCCTTTGTTTCCGGAGCGCAGACATGGGTCCGAGGCCTGGATAGGTGCCCATGCCCTGACAGTGGGGCTGCTTCCCGCTCCCTCTCCTCGCAGTCCTGGGTGTGCAGGCTAGAGACACTGCTCTCCCCCTCAGGTTCTGCTTATCGCCCATATGGTCATCTCCCACTAAACCCTCCCGAGTTAGAAATAAGCCAGAAGGTGAACAGAACCCAAATCAGAAGCCTTCCCCTGAGCTAACCACGGGGCATTCTCAGCGTGTGTGAGATGCGCGGGGTTTGACCTGGAGCATTTTAAAGGAGAGCAGCTCTATACAGGGAAGCTGCCTGGACATAACTAGCCAGGATGACTACAGCCCCGTGGTGCTCAATGTGACACAGGGTTCAAATCTAAGCACGTTCCGCCATCACCAGCGAGGTGGGGTAGCTGGTTTGGATAGTATTTAATGAAACCACCTGATTGGCCAGTTGCCAGTTCCCAAATTCGGGTACCTGCACATCCTAACAGGGAAAAGGGTCACTGATATTTGCAACTAACTTAAACTTTGTAGTAGTTGAATGAATATAAATCATGATGAGAGGGCTAAACAGACTTAGAAGTTATGATTCATATGCTTTAGTGATTTCTACAGATCATGCATTTAACAGAGTTGGAAAAAACTTTGTAGGGTGATGGTGTGAGAAATGTCTTCTGATAGAATGAAGCCCTAGAAATAATACAAAATTCCAAGGGTTTTTCTGAGAAGATAGTGACTAGAACTCTCCAGTGCTGAGTGAATGCTGCTGATCCTTCTTTTTTGACTACGAGTTTCTCTATACACCCACTTTGATATTTATATTAGAAATGTAGCACTCAGCCCATTTTAGTTTAACACTGATGGGGGCAGGTGCCTTAGTCTTGGCATCAAAAATGGTTGTCCGAGTTTAATTAAAAGTTGAGAATAATTATTTCAAGTGTAAAGGAGTGTTTTATAAAAGCAGGAGGGGGAGCTGTGAAAGCCAGCCGGTTTTCCCTGTGGGAGGATGCACACCATTTTTTGATATGAGAACTCTAAGCTAATTTCTTAGAAGGTTAGGCTCAAACAATATACAGGTAAACTTTAATTTTAAACGAAACATCCCAAAGCTTTAGGAAAAGGAACAGGATCTCTCCTTCCCTCACCCCCTCAGGTCTCTGTAGCAATAATTTAAAACACTAGAGGAAATGGTCATATAAAATGTTCAGTTCTAGTTATTGAGCTGTGTCTTAGAAAATACTGTTTTTAAAAGTGGTGTTTGTGGAATACTGTTAGTGACATTTTATGAGAGCAGTGGTTCTCTTGATTCCCTGTCTGGGGTGTACAAGTCTTAGGCAAAGGTCACAGATTTGACCTTAATAACCCTTAATCCCTTCCATTGTCTTGCTCTTTGACATAACTGGATAGACGTGGATGGATCAACGAGTCCATTTCTTATGGATTGTCAGCGCCTCAGATTGTGCTCTACTGCCAACCAGCGTCATCGACAGTAAAGAATGACTCCAGAATTTTGACCATATTTGTGTGAATCTGGTTGATAAGCAATGAACAGGAAAAAAGTTGGAAAACTAATGTTTAAAAATTGTCCTCAGGGCCATTAATTCTTGGTAATGAAGCAAGCAGAAACTTATTGGTAGAAGGTTTAAGTGTAATCTTTGACAAAACCTCCTTGGGTTTGCTGTCAAGCCAGATACTTGAGAAGTCCAGAAGTTGCCCTGCCTTAAGTCTAGTGATTATTTACCTGTGAAGATAATTTTTTGGTTTAGGCTGTGTGATTGGTTTTTATTACTGAAGACTATTTCCACATCCCAGTGCAGCTAAAATCTCAGTGTTTAGAAACTCTAGATTTATAAAGTTTTTAGTTTAAGTTCTTGAGGCAAGATGAAAATTTCCATTGGAAATTGAACAATAGTTCCTAGCGTGCTGCAATGTAAATACAGCCTTGTTATTCATTCTCTCCTTAGATGGAATTACAATTCACTGAATTTCCTTAAGCCAGTAGGTTATCTGTTTGTTTTTCTGTTATAATTCATTTAGTTTAAGTGTATAAGTTAAACTTAAGCATTGCATTAAGTTGTTTTATTTGATAAAAATATCTATAATTGATCTTTTAAAACTAATCAAACATATTTAACAACTAAAACATTCTCGATTTAATAGTGCGGCTTTTATTTTGGTAGTTGTCATTTTCTTTCATAACAGCTTTTGTATTTTTGCTAAATATTTTTAAATCACGTTTTATATGTAGATCATATTTTTCTTACAGTTCCACTATAATTAAAATTTTTCTTTTATGCTGTCTTCGAGATAGCTGCAATACCTGTGTAGAAAATAATTTTCACTTTATATCCTTTCACTGTTGTTTTAAGAAACACAGTATATTTGTTCTATCGATGTAAATAGATTAACAAAAGGGGGAAATAAATTGACTTAAAAGTTTTGTTTTTTGGTTAGGGGTGGTGGTGGGAGGGAAGAGAGAAACATTGATGAGAGAGACACATCTATTTTGTTGCCTCCCAAATTGCCCAACCAGTGGCGGGAAGACCTACAGCCCAGTATGCGCCCGTGACTGGGAATTGAACCTGAGACCTTTGTGTGCAGCCTCCGCTCACCACTGAGTCCGGCCGGGGCAACCTAGGAGGACTTTTCAATGAGGAGATAGAGAACATGCATTTCTAACTTAAGGCCTGGCTAATGACGTCACTGTTCCCGATGCTCTTTGGGAGGGGCTCGGTGGGGAGGGGCCTGGCGGGTGTGGCCTGGCTGTCTCGGCCAGGCCCTGCTGCAGTGAGCGGCTCTGGCTGCTCCGGTCTGACCACTGCACTGCCTGGGCTCCAGCCACCGGCCAGCGCAGCATCCTCAGTGCAGGCTGTGCTCCCACCGCCTGCAGGCTCTGGAGGAAGTAGTGGTCTGTGGTGCCCATGAATAGAAACGAAAGAACCTGAATAGGTTTGTGTTAATTAACGCGAGAACTGGCGTTATTCACAACACGAGTCGATTTCATAGTTTAGAACAAGTCCTACAGGAAAGGAAATTCAATATTGTCCTCATTATATGTCTGGAAGTATAATTATGCTTTAGATAATTGCACGTTACACCTCAGGTTGACAGTCTGTGGTGTGTCTATTGCTGATGACATCTTGATGAAGTGTCCTATAGGATTTCAGTTTTTTCCTTGGTTTTTATAAGGCCTTTGGAATCATTTTGGTACCTTCCACACATTCCTGTTTCTGAGCAACATTAAAAGACGGCGAAGGCTCTAGGCCGTCCCTGTGTGACAGTTCACTGTGCCCTCTGCACATGTGCCCTCCAGTGCGGAGGCATCAGCTCTGAGAAGCCAGGCTGCTCCCTGGGAAACTCACGGGACACTGCTCACGTAAAGGAGCCGTGGTTTATACTGACTCACTCTGTCTCCCTGGCCCGTGAATACAATGCTTTGGGGACTATATGATTGCCTTTCGTGCATTATTGTATATCCTGCATCACCTGGAAAACAGAAACGTGCTATTTGATACAGACTCGTAAGGTCCTTTAAGAGGGTAAGATAATCCTGACCATTCTGAATATATTTCTTCACATTTGAAAAGATATGAAATTAATAGTCAAATTATTATTTAATAAAGTTTTGACATGACCTTACAGCTAACTTGCTAATCCTGTTGATGGATAAATTAAATTATATCACCTCAGCAGAAACTGGCTGTAATTTTATCTTATGGAAATTTATATTAAGCATCCAAGGTTGCTATGTTACAGTTCTTTTCAGAATGTGATATGAATTTGACATAAAATATTACTGAGATTTGAAAGAAGTTTCATCCTGGGGATAAGTGATGAAGCAGTAGGTTACCTGTTTCCACAATAAAGGCTTAAAGAGGAAAAAGTATGAAGATAATAGAATAATTCTAATTAGTGTGGATAATTTATTAAGTTTACTAAGAAATTAAGATTCAGTTACGGTATTAGATCTATAAATAGTTTAGTAAATACAGAATGAATTCAGTTTAATTGTGCTTTCATTTCAGTTTAATTGTATAAGAATATAGTTGTTCTACTTTGTAAGAAAGTCTTTAATTTTGTTAAAGAAATATTAGAACTAGGTATGCTAGGGTGATTAAGGGGCTCTGAAGTTAGGAAAAAGGTTCGTAATCCTTATGCATGAGGTAGAATGATTCTCTCAGTCATACCATACCCCCTTCTCTAGATACAGGTCTTGTTTTGAAAGAAGTCTTATGCACAATATACAATGAAATTACAGGTAGCCTTTACTTAGCTTTTTAAACAAATCATTAGCTATCATACCCATACAGTACTTACTAATTATTCTTTGTATTTAATGTAGGAGCTGCCATCTGGGGGTCAGTGACATAGAGCATTTTCCAAAAAGGAATTTTCTTGGGTGAAATAACTAGGAAATACTAGTTGATACAGATCCACCTGCACTCTTATTAGAACAAAAAACATCAGATACTTATTCGATGGCTTTTTCCTTCTGTGGTTGAGCCTTCCTTATGAAAATTTTTTTAAAGTTAAACCATTTGTCGCCTGCTTATCATAAGGTTTTTACAGGCAGACTATGAACTTTGAAAAGGACTTATTCAAACATGTCTCAACTTTGTGTTTTATATGTGCTTCCCCCCGAAACATTTTAACTGGTCATGAGTGTACATAAAGTGAAAAGAGTTCCACTTATTTACATTATGAGTATTTTGATAAAGTGAGATCTGCACAGGAGCAGAGGAAAGGTCACTGACACCACAGTCGTTTGCTGCTTGCTTATCCAAGAACCTTGTTTATTGCTTCCGAAGGGTATGCTAGTAAGCAGTTTAAAATGAAAACTGCCAGTAATACAAAATAGTTGAAAAAATTCTCAGTTTACTGCAAAAGACTTTTATTAGTGAAGGTTGGAGATTAAGTTTTTCATGGAATTTTCTATGATTGTAATTTGATATAGAAAACGAGTGGTCAGATTTTGCTGCCTCTGATACATTGTAACTTACCTGAAATACTCCTTGTCAACTTCCCAAGCTTACTTTACCTTTTTGAGTCTTCTGCCTACTTTATAAGACTGTTAATATGTATATAAGACTATTATTTTGTTTTTGATATATAGCAACTAAATATATGAGCACTTTTCTGAACTCAGGGATTCTATCCTAATTTGAGATAATTACGTTTTCTTTCTCAGCCTGTGGACATCTCTACAGCAATGAGTGAGCGGGCACTTGCTCAGAAAAGACTAAGTGAGAATGCATTTGACCTTGAAGCCATGAGCATGTTAAATCGAGCTCAGGAACGGGTATGTAGCAGTTTAATATCTAAATAAGATTTTTACTAATTAGATTGTGACATAAACAAAATCACTGGCATGCTGTTGAAATGTAGGTTCTTAAAAATACAAGGGAAAAACCATTTTATTTTTTAAAATCTTCACTGGAGGAGTGAAGGTATTTTTTTCCATTGATTCTAGAGAGAGTGGAAGGGAGGGGGGAAGGAAAGGAGAAAAGAGAGGGAGAGAGAAAAGCAAAAACATATTGGTTAGTTGTCTTTCACATGAGCCTCAAGGGGTGGGGGTGGGGTTGGGGGTGGGGGTGGGGGTCAGACCTGCAGTCCAGGAATGTGCCCTTGATCTGGAATTGGACCTGAGACCTTCTGGTACACAGGCCAGTGCTCCAACCACCGACCCACAGCCTGCTTAGCTTGTTTTAAAAATATATTTTATTGATTTTACACAGAGAGGAATTGAGAGGGACAGAGAGTTAGAAACATCGATGAGAGAGAATCATCGATCAGCTGCCTCTTGCACACCTCCCACTGGGGATGTGCCCGCAACCAAGGTACATGCCCTTGACCGGAATCAAACCCGGGACCTTTCAGTCTGCAGGCCGATGCTCTATCCATTGAGCCAAACTGGTCCTGGCCTACTTAGCTTATTTTAAACTAGAGACCTGGTGCATGACATTCGTGCACTGAGTGGGGGTGGGTTGTCCCTTACCCCAGACTGCAGGGCTGTCCGCCCGCTTGCTTAGGCCTGCTCCACCTGAAGCTGCAGGCGGACATCCCGAGGGCTCCGTAGCATGGCCGTGGACGGGGAGAGGCTCTCACCACCTTTGCTGTGCTCCCCAGCCAGGAGCCCAGCTGGCTGAGCTCCTGTGGGAGCGCACTGGCCACCAGAAGGCAGCTCCTGTTTTAAGCGTCTGCCCCCTGGTGGTCAGTGCGCATCATAGTGACTGGTCAATCCGCTGTTAAGTGTCTATTTGCATATTAGTCTTTTATTATATAGGATGACCATGGCCTAATTAGCTTATTTTAAAGGTTAGTGATTTGGGTCCTGTTCCTTTGTTCAGTACATGTTTATTGTGTACTGTATGACGGGAACTGTTCTTGAGCAAATAAAAAGAGAATTCCTGCTGAGTTTATAAAAATAGCACACTGGCCATAATAGGTCTGTGAGCTGGAAGTAGTAATATGAGTTCCTGCTTTCCAGTGGCGCAAAGTGAGCCAAAGAGTGGTTAACTGCTGCCCAAGGTCACAGACTAGTAAGTGAAGAGGGTGTCATTGAACCCATTCAGCCAGGGTCCAGAGGCATGATTTTAACAATGGACAGCTTTCCCTTGCTCCTTTTAAGTGCATGTGATCAGGGTGGGGATGGTGGGAGCAAGCCTGCAACTGAGGCTGCGTTCTTGACATGAAGAGAACCCGGGACCCTTCAGTCCGAGGGCTAAAGCTCGACCCACTGAGCAAAACTGGCAACAGCTGGAAAACAATTCTAGATGCGTGTAAAATCACTCCATGCTCTCAAAAATTGGATATCTAAGCATTTCTGGAACTAACTAAACCATTTCTTCTAATGAATTAAGTTGTTAATTTCAGTAGCATTCTAACCAGCCGAGTAATTTTCATTAGTAACTGAGTCATCTTCTTCTCTTCAGATCGATGCCTGGGCTCAGCTGAACTCTATTCCTGGCCAGTTCACAGGAAGTACGGGGGTACAGGTCCTGACACAAGAACAGTTGGCCAATACCGGAGCCCAAGCCTGGATTAAAAAGGTACATTGACATAATGCACACACGAAAGTGTTCGAGTGAAAGCTAAAATTTCTTAGGAAGTGTTTTATTAATGCAGTAAGAGGCCAGTGACCAAGCAAAGTTCCTGAGTGAATTTGCTGTGTGTGTACTCCAGGACGGACACTGAGGATGGACCGGGTTCATGAGCAGTGGCCAATGTATAAATATGACTCGGGAACCCTGGGTTTCTGTCCTGAGGTTACTTTATTCTGGCTGCTGGTCTTGGGGCGGGTGGTCTGTTTAAACTGTGTTTTGAATGCTCACAATGTGTCTCAGGTGCTGTTGTGAATATGCCCAGTTCCTGTTGGACTGCTAATCTAATGATTCAAAGCGGTGGTTCTCAATGCTTTCTCCTCCGGGATACTTTGTTACAGGTTTATTTTTGGTGGAACACTGCCCCAAGAGCCCTTTGCCACCCTTGCTTCCATTTCTCTGTTCCTCTGCCCTCTTTCCCCTCCTTAGTGCCTGCACCTCCTTAGCTCCTGTGGCCCCCGCCCCCTCCTGTGATCTCCAGGCCCAGTCCCCGTGGTGGTCAGCTGTGGTCACAGCAAGTGGTTGGGAGGCCCCGGATTAGCACTGCATGTGGTGATTGGCCGTGGGACTGGAAGGCGGGGGAGGCTGGCTGGCGCCTGGGCGGGTGTTGCTGAGGGTGAACGGGGCGGGTGGGGATGGAGCATCCTCTCTGTGGACCACCATGTGGGCCCTGGTGGCCTTTGGTGGTCCACAGGCTCCATTTGAGAACCACTGACCTCAGGACAAACAGGACAGAGAGGCCTAAGTTGAAGGGAGTGGACGGACGCCTGGTGCTGTGAAGATGTAGGTGCTCCGGTGTCAGATGCCTGCCATGAGACGTGGACTCCACCTACGGCTGCCTCGCTGTTGGGGAGTCTTAGGTGGTGCCGGAGGGCTTTCTGGAAGTGTGTGCCGGTGAAGGGAGGGCCTGAGGGCCTGCCGGCGGGGGTGGGGGGGTCTGTTTCAGGAGTACGGGCAGGAGCGGCGCCGCCGGGAGGCTGCTCGGTCCCATGGACTGGGAAGGTTTCCTTATCCGGCCGTGCGTCCTCCCGACTCCTTTGTGATCGTGGGCCAGTAATGACGGGAGTCAGTCTGCAAGCCACACGGAAGACAAGTCCATTCCTGCCCCGGTGGGGATGTGACGGCGCCATGGAGAACCGCCAGGAGTTCTGAGAAAATGAGATTGGGCTGTTTTGGAAGTTTTAATCTCATAACATTTCAGTTTTGATTGCATTATCTCTGGTGATCCTCTCATTAACCAATTAATAATATACAAGTTTCACTCTGCCTGCCATTTTGGGGTGGGGGAGATAAGCACTCTTAATATGTGTATATTTGAGTACACAGATTCTTTAAAAAATTACAATTTATGTAGTTTACTAGGGGATTAGTATTGGGAAAAGACGAGAATCTATCAATTTTAAAGATTTAAGTTTGGACTAATTTATTACATTTCAAATGTGAAGTGACTTGTGTAGTATTTGAAAAAATGGCTTTATTTTCTTTTAACAGTTTAATTCCTTAAAACTACTTAATTCTAAAGCTGAATACTCAGTATTTCAGGAAGTAAGACTTGAAACTTAAATGAATGTTTTAGGCACATAATGATTAGTCCTGTACATTACTAGTTAGAAACTTTTGATTGTGATTGCATTGCAAAATTTAGTCTAATATTTATGTAAAGTGAAAGTGCTGATCTATAATGCTTCTAAACATACTTGTAAATATTGTTAATCTATGAAAAGTGAATCTTTTATAGATTCAATACCCTGTAAACTTTCCCTTAATTTAAAAAAAAAACTTCGTTTTGTAGGCAGTTGATAGATTTTTAAATAAGTATTATACCAATTTAAATCATTTTGATAAATTCTCATACCTTAAAGTTATATTCATTTGACCAAATTTTTAAATAACTAAAGAAAGCAATGCCTTCAGGAAACTGTCTGTATGTTACTTAAAGAATATCTGCTACTGACATCAAGGAAGGGATGTTTTTTATAAAAATGAGGTGGAGCATGTGGAAAAGTTATTAGGCAACAGGAAGTTTAGGCAACAGGAAGTTTAACACTTGCCTATTGCAGACCTGCCTGTGTTTAGGAGATGTTCCCCAGGCTCATTTGGCTTCTGTTGCCTTGTTAAGCTCAGCACCTTCTTCGTTAAAAGCGGCTTGGATTGCCAGCATTTCCCTCCCTCCTTTGCATTTTGTTGTAGTAAGTCAATATATTCTTAGTAGATAAAGGAGAGGGTTTTTTTTTGTTTTTTTTTTAAGTAAAAATTTAAAAATGGTTATTAAAGCAACCTTTATTTTTTGAGATGGTATCACTTGGACATGACCAGATGAATATCGTTTACTCTAGTAGTCTCATTAATCAGCTTTTTTTGTTAACTACCTACATCCTGGGGTACAGAAACATGAATATATCAGAATGGAAACACAACTGGAGACCTGGGTTATTGGGGTATTTGTATGTACTCTGCACAGTTGCCCTTTTTTTTAGGAGAGTTTCCTGGAAAGAGGGGCCGATGAACCTGGAAGTAAGTAAAAGCCATTCTAGGTGTGTAGCAACCAGGCAGTTGATACCCGAGCATCAGCTAACTTTTTTCTCAGTACATCAACACTGCATGGCCTGCACCAAATAAGGAACTGAACCAGGGGTACGTTTACCTCCACAGCCGCCTCCTTCCATCAGAGCGCCTTGTTGAACTTAATGTCTGTCACAAACCATTGGCATGCTTTCCCCCAGCATGTAATTAAAAAGCTGGGGAGAAGAATAGACAGCTTACTACTGTCAGAAAACCAGATTTAACAAATTCGGTATTAACTTGTCAATACAGGAATGTGATTGATGAATACTATTTCTATTTACCAAGAATTTTGATCCCCTCTATTGATAAGTTAATAACATCTATATATTTGCTGGAGAATGTAAATTTAAAATTTAATAACAAGGAAATAAAGAACAATTTGGTGACATTGTACAAAAAAGACCGACAGTAGAATTTAGTAGTTTGTTCTATGAACATGGTTGCCTCAGAGGCATCACGTATCTCTTAATGTGTGACAATAATTGGCTTGATCATGCTAATGTATATCCTTGTGCATCTTATGACATTAAGTGGTGTGCTGCTTTGATGGAAATTATGGTTCAGTGGGTTGGATACAAGAGAGATGACTGTTCACAGAATAACCTGTGAACTCTCACCCCTCTGTATGGAAACTTGTTTCAGGGCCAAATCCTTGTAGCTGTCTTCTTGCCCGGGTCAGTGCCAGCCCTACTATTCACAACCCTGCTGCCACCGAGGCCTAGGTATGTAAATGTTTAAGGCGTTTTTAAGTCTTTTAACATCGAGCTAGGTTTTAAAGGAATTCAAAGTCAGTTTGGTATAACAGGTTCTTTTATGTGGTTGTCTTCCATTGCTTACTGTGTTAATGATTTTATGGAGTCATTCTTTTGCTTCGTAGGGTTTTTCTATGTAAAATAGTCATTCTTGCTCCATGGTAGAATGGAAAAATAAAATGGGTGATAACAGTATGCTGCTTCAGTGTCCGAACTATTTCTCAAATGACTTCTGGGCTTTATTTATTAACTAGGTACACCCGGGACAATTACTGACTTTTAACATTGCCTTCTTTTTATTTTGCAAGCTAAGAAGAGATACCAGTGAACGTAAATAGTGGACGAAAACAGGAGTGTTCTAATTTTTTTTGGAGGGGGCACAAGGGCCACTGTTTTAAAACTGCCATTTATATGCCTTACGTGACTTTCAAAATACTATTATGTTAATGTGGAAAAATTAGAACTTACACACTACAGTATGTATAAGAAGCATTTAAACTTAACTGCTATAACTATAACAGATCTAGAAGAAAAATAAGATTTCTTTTTTTAAAAATTTACACTGTTTACAGTCAAATTCTAACTGTAAATTGGGATATTTTACCTCTCTTTGGACAGGATCAATTCTTAAGAGCAGCCCCAGTAACTGGAGGAATGGGAGCCGTTTTGATGAGAAAAATGGGCTGGAGAGAAGGAGAAGGACTAGGAAAGAACAAAGAAGGAAATAAGGAACCTATCCTAGTTGATTTCAAGACTGACCGAAAAGGTAACAAGTTTTTGGGGAAAGGTTATTATACCCCCTTTAACGGTTCAGGTTTCATTACAGAATCTACATTCTTTTTCTTCTTTTAAAAAAAATATATTTTATTGATTTTTTACAGAGAGGAAGAGAGAGAGCTAGAAACATCAATGAGAGAGAGACATCGATCAGCTGCCTCCTGCACACCCCCTACTGGGGATGTGCCCGCAACCAATGTACATGGCCTTGACTGGAATTGAACCGGGACCTTTCAGTCCGCAGGCTTGTGCTCTCCACTGAGCCAAACCGGTTTCGGCAGTATCTACATTCTTTTGATGTCTGACCCTGACCTGTAGGCACTCTGCTTATACAGCTGTTTCTTAGGAGGGGTGGGGTTTAACCCATTCCCAACAGCTTATAGAATTATAGAAGGAAACACTAATTTTAGCTTTAAAAAGGCAACCTGCGTTAATGTTAGTTGCTAAAAATTATGGAACTTTGAATATATCTATGATTAATATTTTAACTAGATTTTATATTTATAAAGTAACGGTTTTGTTTTGATGGAATATATTCTTAACTTTCTTAGATATTTTATCCCACATATTCTTTTTATTTCCTATTAAAGTGTTGCTCAGTCTCTGCTTTATAAACCCTCTTTTCAAACTCAGGAAGTCAGTTCTTTTGGGTTGGGGAATAGCAGATCAGCTGCCTACACCAGTGCTACTTTTTCATAACGCCCTGAGTTTTGGGCACCCAAGTATAATCCATGGGAATGCCAACTCAGTGTGATGATTGGAACTTAAGTCTAGTTTTTAAAATTCCAAACTTATTTTGTATTCAAATAGAGATTTCACTGAGATTAATGCACTTACATTATTCATTCTTAATGACTTTGGAAACTGAATAGCTCCAACTAAAATTTTCTTTATTGTTTTTGCATCAAATTTTCTACATTGCCATTTATGTAGAATACCGTGTTGCCATTTTGTTTCAAACTGGTGGGAATATATTTTAATAACGATAATCAAAAGAGCACGGAAGTAAGATTACAGTCATCCTGTGATACAGCATTAATTCAAGCTTTAAATTAAATGAGGAAAGAGCATTTTGCTCGTTATGTCATATTGACATTTTATTGCTTGTACAAGCTGAATAGATACTCTGTGTCACGAAAAGGTGGTTTATTGGAAGAAAACATTGGATGTTTTGCATAAATTTCAGGGAGCAACATTCATGGGTTGGGTTTGGGAAAACGGGAGCAGAATTAGAAACTGGAAGAACGTTGGTTTTGCGGTGACATAGCTGTCACTTTGGAAAGGGCGGTTCTGCACTGTGTGTGCCTCTTGGGAGAGCGCCTCTTATCTGATGAGTCAGAAAGGGCTTCGTTGCTGGGGGTGGGGAGGAATGAACCCCTTATCAATTAGACTTTTTTACTTGTGTGTGACCTAAAATCCTCATCTTTTGAGGAACATACTTTGTACTAGCATCATCTTTTAAATAATGGGCAACCTTTAGAAACCAGTTGCAATAAATAGCCACTACTATTTAAACATACAAAGCAACAGACCTGGAGTTGATAATTAGGGCAATTAATTATATGTGCATTCACAGACTAAATGCTTGTTTTCTGAACATTTTATATAATTTCCAGTGCCAGGGTGTATGAATATGTTTATTTCTGTGCTGAAACCCAGCAAAATAGAAGTCCAGATTGATCTAGAAACCAGGGCAAGGGGAATGTGTTGAAGATTTCCTTGGAGTTTATCATGAACATTGTTGTTTTTTGTAAAAGGTCTTGTGGCTGTAGGAGAAAGAGCCCAGAAGAGGTCTGGAAACTTCTCTGCTGCAATGAAAGATCTGTCAGGTGAGGGGACACTGGGTTCTTCCCACCCATCCTCACTTTCAGTTCATAATTGGTTGCCACAAATGGTGCAGATAATTAACCACTGTTTTTTTTTTTTCCTCTGCAGGCAAACACCCTGTGTCTGCCTTGATGGAAATCTGTAATAAGAGAAGGTGGCAACGACCTGAATTTCTCTTGATCCATGATAGTGGCCCTGATCATCGCAAGCATTTCCTCTTTAGGGTAAATATGAATTTCTGCTTTAATTGTATACGTTTATTAATTTGACAATGTTAGTGGGAGAGGGATAAGTAGGATTGATATATTTGTGGGCTGGGAGTGTGTATATGTATAGGTAGAGAGGAGGGGTTTTTTAAACATACAAGTATGCCTCTTAATATGACTTTTAAAAACCTTATTTTAAAAATATGTTGGAAGGGAATGATGTGGGCAAATTCTTGTGAACTATTTGTTGCCATATACTAGTAGGAAATGGGGAATTAACTTAGAACTGTCAGGCTTTTTTCCATTTGGAGGCCTGCTTTTAATTTGCTGTCTCTCCCCAATGATTTGTTCCTTCTGGGTTGAGGTTAATTTGACTTATATAGTATGGGTTTGTTTTAATTTAGTTTTCTAGCATTTAGTGAAAAAATAAAAAGCTAATAGATATTAAAGTTTGATGCTGTTCTTATTGTATGTTTTTCTTGAATAGGTATTGAGAAATGGAAGCCCTTACCAGCCCAATTGTATGTTTTTCTTGAATAGGTATTGATAAATGGAAGCGCTTACCAGCCCAGGTTTGCCAGCCCTAATAAGAAGCATGCTAAAGCCACAGCAGCTACTGTGGTTCTTCAAGCAATGGGCCTTTTACCAAAGGACCTCATGGCTAATGCCACTTGCTTCAGGAGTGCCTCACGTAGATAGATTGAGGTTTTATATTAATCATTTCAGATAATTTTACTCCGCATCAAAATGTATTTCCTCCTTAATGTTGTAAATATTTGGCAATTTAAAACATTGTGTAAAAAGCAATCTGTACAAACATCTCCCGGCTTTGATTTTTGTACCATGGAAATTGTATTTAGCCATACAGGGTTTTGGTATGTTTATATTGTTTACCTTAGTGATGTGTTTGTTTAAGTGGCTAACACCCAAACGATTGTTTGAAGGCATCCGTAATCTTCGGTGTGGAATGTTAAATGACGCTTTTATACTGTATTTTGTACTACGATGTAACTCCCCTTCCTATGGCTAGGCTGCTGTAACACTTGCCTGTAATCAGTGAAGGGCTGTGCACCTTGTACTAGTTCACAATGGGTTCTGCTGGACAGATACTGGGGCCAGTGTTATTGATGTAAGCAAGCAAGATCTGTTCCACAGGGCTGAAGCCACCATCTCCCTTACAATTTTGTAGAAGTTATAAAAGGAAAGTGTATGTTGTGTGATGATCAGCACCAAGTCCTGCGTTCCCGTCAAAGCCACTTGGGCCATGAGAAGGGAGTCACAATGAAGTCTGACTAGAATTCTACTGCAGAGGCCAAGTCCATTTAGTATGGCATTGAGTTGTGATATAGTTTTACTTTGATGTGCATTTTGAATTTCTGCTACACCTAGATAGACGTAAAATGATAATTAAAATGCTGTAACCAACTTATCTAATAAAATTGGCACCCAGCCACTATTTTGTTGACTGAGAGTTTAAGTTTATGTTAATTTTTAGGGTCTGATAGAATATTTCATGTGTATTACAGTGGTATTCATATGCTGTCTATACTTTATTTTCAAAAGCTTAAGGCCCGAAATATAAACTTCTCTGGAATAAATGTGGTGTTTTATTTTCTGGAATGTAAAGTGAACACACTTCTTCACTAAATACTGTTGTTTCTCTATCCAATGCTTATGATTTCTAAGCACTTTTATTTAAGAAAATTTGAACTAGACACACACATTAAATACTACTTTGCCATGATGGATGAGCGTACTTGAAGCGCTTAATACACTATTCTATGTGGAATACAAAATAAAATTACCCCGACCTGAATTAACATGCCTATGTATTGGAGAGAATTGTAAAGAAGAAAGTAAGAAGCATCCACAATCAACTCAGCAGACATTGTATAAATTTGGTTTTTACCTTCACAAGCTAGAACCTGCTCATTACCCTTGGCTCCAGTTTTGGCCAGATGTCATTGATACTAATTTAGCCTCAATTTTCCATTTCAAAGGAAGCACTTGACATTGATGGAATTTTCTATCCAGTTTATAATTAGGTTATAGGGATCTAGTTCTCATTCAAGTTAACCAAGTTTTTCATATCTGAATATCTTATAAAAAAAATAGTAAAGCTAAAATGCCGATCTCCGATCTTAACACATGCATGTAATATTGATGGTTATTCCTTTAACTTCCAAAATGAAATTTAAAGCTAAAGGTATAAGAATCTTGAATTTCCTTGCCAGAGGCTTTTTTCCTCAAAGATTCCTTTTAGGCTTACTTTGGTGGTCAGGATCTCCAATTATAAAGGTAGTCACTCATGTCCACATTCCGTAAGGAGGATTTCCCCAGTACTGGTGTTTGGCTAAGCTGGTCCAGAGTCTTAGGGTGCAACCCACAGTTAGCAAGCTCCTCACGAACAATCTCCTGTGGGAATCGGTACACCAGTCAGTGAAAGCACACCAGCCATTCGAACACTAATAGTTACCATGGGAACTTTGTACTATTCATTATCAACAAAAGTTGACTTAAAAGAATTTTTGCATAGTTTTAATTATAACCTCTAAATAAAATGTGAAAACATCAAAAATTAAAGACCATTTGTTAAATCCTCATAATGACTTGCCTTTTTTTCTTTTTTGGTGGGGTAGTTTTTAAGTCATTGCTAAGTACAACAGTTTGAAATAAAAACTTACAGTAACAGACACATTATCCCTTCCTCTCAGTAATTCTAATAAAAAATTAGTAAATACATTTAATAACTTGAAACAGTTTGGCTCATTATAAATCCGTCACCTACTTTGAGGAAACTGACAGTCTGTTTACAGCTCTCCACTTACCTTTCCCGGGACGTGGTCCACTGGGGGACAGATGTTGAACACAGCGGTTGGCTCGTGGGTATACAGTCCTGCAGAAAATGACCCACTCTGTGAGGACCTGAGCAGCATGGTCACAGAATGTAGAGAATGAGGCATGATGGGACCTGTGATTTCCAAGCTGAATTGATCTTTGTATCCAGAAACACACTGCTTCTTCACATTTACACTTCGTGCCTTCCAAAAAATTGAAGGGGAAAATGTTACGGTCAACTCTCAAGCTTTTGTCCCTAGTTAACAATGTGTCCACCAACTTTTCATTAGGATTTTCCTCTCTTTACGAGTTATGGAACAAAAGTAGTTCATAAGCTACGGGAAGGCTGAAACTGGTTTGGCTCAGTGGATAGAGAGTTGGTCTGCAGGCTGAAAGGTCCCAGGTTCGATTCCAGTCTAGGGCATGTACATTGGTTGTGGGCACATCCCCAGTAGGGGGTGTGCAGGAGGCAGCTGGTCAATGTTTCTCTCTCATCGAAGTTTCTAGCTCTCCATTCCTCTCCCTCTCTGTAAAAAAGCAATAAAATATATTAGAAAAAAAAAAAAAAAAAGACATGAAAAGTGTGTAAGAATAAAAGTGTTTAGTAAATTCTGTCTCCAGTATCCTTTATTCCAAATTATGAGGTTATCAGTTTAAGTAGATTCTAGAAAACATATTTTCATATATGGTATTCACTCTGATTTAGTAATACACTTTCAATACAGAATATTGCTAAAACAAATAAATTGATTCTACTGCTAACATTCAGTACATATTTATCATTTTCACCAACGGGTCCAGAGGCACTCCTGGCAGCTTTGTGGGTTTGTTCCAGATCACTGTAGTAAAGGGTGCGCATGTGAATGAGTTGTTAACGTTTTGCTGGTGGAGGGTATTGCTTTCAATTTGTAAAAATGCAACATCTGTGAAGTGCAATAAAATGAGGTCTGCCTGTACAGTTATTCTTTTCACTTATTCATGATCCAGTTTTTTGAGATAATTCGATATTCTTGTCTCTTGAGACAAGCGCCCTGGCCATTGTTGGCTCGGTTGGAGCGACATCGAGAACGACGGAGTTGGTGACTTGACTGCTGGTCAGGGCACTCGCCCAGGTTGTGAGTTTGATCCCCAGTTGGGCCACATGAGGGAGGCAACCAATGGGTGTTTTTCTCTCTTAAAAAAAAGGGAAATAAATGAGACCACTTTTCTTTATGGCGAAGAAGATTAATACCAAAATGTTTTTGTTACCAGTTTTGTACTTGGTAAGAAAAATTATTTCCATAGAATTCATATATTTTCATGTAACTCCTTTGATATAACTTCATCAAATAATTTTTTACTGGGAGAAAAAACGGCAACATAAAAATGCTAATAAAACAAGTAAAAAATTTATCCCATAGAAAAGGAAAAGTACTGTTTAAAAAGCTATGTTACTTAATTCCAGTCGGAACAGCAGAGTAGGTAGTGAACACTGTTCACCCTCTCCCATGACCACGTCAAAATTGAAACTACTGGTAAACTGTAAAACACCCTTCCGAACCACCTGAAGTCCAGCTGAACAAGTCCTACCCCTAAGGACATGAGAAAGCAGCCACACTGACACTGGGAGGACAGCTGAGGATACAGACTGGGCTGGTGAGTAAAAACCAGGACGGCTATCGCTGCAGAGGTCCCGGCTGCGGATGAAGGAGCCCAGCCCTACAGCAGGGCCCCAATGGCAGTAGAGAAGTCCAAGTACCTTCAGGCTGGGAAACCAGATGTGGCTGAGTGAGACTAGCACTGCTGTGGGCCCAGGTGTTGCTCTTAAAGGGTCCCCCACATATATTTCCTCCCTGACAGACTCACTTGTTCTGAGCTCCAGCACTGGGGCAGTGGCATAAAAGGCACCAGAGACATAGGGCCCACACCAAGACACATCATAATTAAAACACCAAGGGTTAAAGACAAAGAGAGAATTTTAAAAGCAGCAAGAGAAAAGCATTTGGTTACATATAGGGAGCTCCCATAAGATGGTCTCCGACTCATCAATAGAAACTGTGAGGGCCAGAAGTGATTGGCATGAAATATTTAATATTCAAAGTGATGAAAACAAGGATCTACCACCGAGACTACTTTACCCAGAAAAGCTTCCTTTCAGAATTGAAGAACGGATAAGGAAACAGACAAGGAAAAGCTAAAGGAGTTCTTTATTACCAAACCAGTATTACAAGAAATGTTAAAGGACTGCTTTAAGAGGAAGAAGAAAAAATATGAATAAAATGGCAATAACTATACCTATCAATAATTACTTTAAATGTAAATAAATGGATTAAATGCTCTAATTTGAATGGATATTAAAACAAGACTCATACATATGCTACCTATAAGAAGGTCACTTGAGATAAAAAGATTCAGACTGAGTAAAGAGATGGAAAAAGATATTTTATTCGAAGGGAAATGAAAAAAAAAAGCTGAGGTAGCAATTCTTGTATCAGAGAAAATAGACTTTTAAAACAAAGGCTGTCACAAGAGACAAAGATAGGATCCAGTGATTCCACTTCTGGATATTTATCTAAGGAAACCAAAAACAATAATTTAAAATGACGTGTGTCCCGGTGTTCACTACAACATTCACAACAGCCAGGATAGGAAAGCACCCTAAGGGCCAATCAACAGACGGATGGTAAAAGAAGTGGCACATACAGACAAGGGAATCAGCCATAAAAAAAAGTGAAATCTTGCCATTTACGACAACATGGGTGAACTTTGACTATTTTATGCTAATAAGACAAAGAAAGATAAATACTATCTGATTTAATTTATGTGAATTTGAAAAAACAAAGAAACAAAACAAACATAGAATAAACTGATGGTAATATGGGAGGGGGAAACTTACAAAATCACGGGGCTGTACAGTACAGCGTGGGAGGTAGTAAGACGGTAATACTGCATGGTGTCAGATGAGTACTAGACTTATTGTGGTGATCACTTCCTAAGTCACAGAAATGTCTAATCACTATATTGTACAATTGAAATGTATCTAATATTGTATGTCAAACTTAAGTGAAAAATAAAGTTATTTTTTTAAAAGAAGCTAGGTTGTGAAGATTAGTGTAGAATTACCCTCCACCCCTTCTTACCTTAAGCATTTGCATGGTGGCTCCTCGGAAAGCTATCGGGGACAGGAGAGTTGGTGGCAGTCCTGCCTGTGGACCTGAAGCAGCGATTAAGCTCTTACAGTTGATCAAAAAATTGAGCAATGTAAAGGTGTTTGCTCCCTTCACCAACACAACAGACTCAGGCCTGTGATCCATCTGTACTTCATGTTTCTCTTTTCGCCTGAAGATGGCAATTAAGGAAATGGCAAGTGCGAATCCCATGCCAATGGGAAAAGCAGTTACCTTGATTTTCAATCACCTGGGACCCCTTTTCCCAATTCCAAACTGGAAATGCTCATTATCACGTCTTCACTGCAATTAGAAGGCACCTATTTAAATCCAAATGCCCTGACTTTAACCTGAATTTGCTGGAAACTGACTCCTAACAAAACTTATTTCACTAGTCCTCCCCAAACTTCAACACAACAGAATGCTCTTTTTAAAATATAGCTTCTTAGTTTATTGGTACTTAGGGTTTTGTTACTTAGTGCCATGAATTAATTTTAGGATGATCTTAAGATAATTTAAGATTATGGTCAGACAGACTAGTGTGGTTCAAAGTTGAGCATCAACCCATGAACCAGGTCACCGGCTGGATTACTGGTCTGGGCACTTTCCCAGGTTGCGGGATCGATTTTCAATGGGGTGAGTATAGGAGGCAGCTGGCTGTTTCTCTCTCATTGATGTTTCTTCCTCTCCCTCCCCTTTCTCTCTTTCTAAAATAAATAAGAACATATTAAGACAAAACATTATGGTCAAATAAAACTGCCAGTCAATATCCCATTGCTCACTAACTTAATTCAATAAAAGTCAATTCTAGTTAACAGCAAATGAAAGGATACAGCTTGAGAGAGAGTATGTCTGGCTTTTTAATTTTATCTTGCACACCCATCTCTTCCAGCCAGGAAAAACTTTCTTCTTCATCCTCATCACTGACTGCTTGCTCCCTAAAAAATTGCTTTAGTTAGATTTCCCATTCAGAACGCTGTTTCCTCTACAAAACGGCTGCACCCGGCGCAGCCACGGGCTGGGTAAAAGGTCATTTCATCACATACTCCCCAGGCGCCACGATTGTTCCAGCTGCTCTCTTCTTCTCGTGGCCACTTTCTGTTACTAACGGCAGAGAAAATTCGATACCTACACGAGGAAAGAAAGACATAACTGAGCTTTCTTGACTATACTATTAATTTAAAAGAGGTTAATAGGTGTGCCTTACTTTTATAGTCCAAAATTTGAAAATGTGAATCTTTATATTTGATTATCATATTAAGGCAGCAGCTTTCAAACTTTATTTTATTTTTCAATTAGTTTACATTCAGTATTACCTTGTACTAGCAGCCATAACACATCCATACATACCCATATCTCTTTGAAACAAAAGGTTCAGGAAACTATACATTCTTACTACATGTGGTATTCTTTCATGAAGTATATACTACTCTTTCATTTTTAAAAATGCTGATTAAACACAATAAAAATATTTTATGTCCACGCATGTGTTGACCCAGTTTGAAAACTGTTTTTTCAAATTTGTACTATAAGGAATTTTAAGAAGCGTATATTCAGATAGAGACTTTCCAACCCAGTATGTGTTTAGAGGTCCGTGAAAGGAAGATCATTAACTTAAAGCAATGTATAAGGAACAGTTTAAATAAATGGTATAAAAAGAATCAGAAAGAAATAAAATATTTCTTAATATAGTTAAGCCCAGCCAGTATGGTGCAGTAGTTGTGCATCAACCTATGAACCAGGAAGTCACGGTTCATTTCTGGTCAGGGCACATACTCGGGTTAGGGCACATACTTGGAGTATGGGCTTGTTTTCCCAGTGGTGGGTGTGTAGGAAGCAGCTGATCAATGATTCTCTCATCACTGATGTTTCTCTCTCTACCTCTCTGAAATCCATAAAAATGTATTTTAAAAAAGAATATAGCTAAAACTAATAAAAGACAATTCACTCGACAAAGGGTATTTTTAACTTTCAAGAAGAGTTTGCTATATAGTGGTATTCTTATTTTAAACTATAATTTTACCTTCGTTTTTCATAGCTTCCCTTATACCTCTAGTTGTAGGCGATATGAGAGCCGTGATTACATCATTTCCGGCTAATCCTGCTGCACGAAACAGGATAGTAAATTGATAGGTACAAACGTAGAAATAGGGGCAAAGTTTTGTCTTCAGAAGATTATATAAAGAGGTGAAGCTCACAGACCTATGAAGCAAAAAATTGTCTTTAAACATTTAATTCCACATCTAAAATGTAATATTGTATAATTCAGCTTGATGTTCACTCTGATTTGAAACAACATAATTATTACAGATAATGGTTTTCATTCTTGCTGTTACATATAACTTGGCTTTGAAATAACTGAAACTGGTCATGAGACTCACTGATAACATCTACGTATTTAAACAGTGTTTCCCATTTAAACACTAACCATTTTGTTCTTTGAATAAAATTTAATTGGTAACTTGTTGATAATTATCTTTGTGCAGCTTCTGCTGAGAATGGAAGCAGTCATTGACAAGAATCTTAAAGAATTATGTTTAGCCCTAACTGGTTTAGCTCAGTGGAGAGCAATGGCCTGCAAACTGAAAAGTCCCAGATTCGATTCCGGTCAAGGGCATGTAACTTGGTTGCCGGCACATCCCCAGTAGTAGGTGTGTAGGAGGCAGCTGATTGATGTTTCTCTCTCATTGATGTTTCTCTCTATCCTTCTCCCTTCCTCTCTGTAAAAAAATAAAATATATTTAAAAAAAAAAGAATTATGTTTATGTGTATTTACCAAACACTTAAATGAATTTCACAATTGCATAAAGTGAACAAGAGCTAAAAAGCAAACAATTTAGCTGAAACCGGTTTGGCTCAGTGGATAGAGCAGGTGTCGGCAACCTGCGGCTCCAGAGCCGCATGTGGCTCTTTTGAAGCTTTACCGCAGCTCCGAACTTGCAAGCCTGTGTGAAAATGAAGGTAACGTCTTACAGCCCTGATGTGCTGACACTGTGCACTGAGGTTCAGGAGCAAAAATCCCATTAACCAGGTAAATTAAGTATTTTAATTAGCTATTAATTTGCAAAAATATATTTTACATTGTTAAGTGAAAAAGTCCTTTTTTTCTTCAGATTGACAGCTAACTGCACGATCCGGTATATAGCATTAAGGTAAGAAACAGTATATGCAGTGTTATATTTGTTTTAAATGTCGCAATGGTTTTGTAGCTCCCAGGTTTTTTTTTCTTCGGAAATGGGTCCAAGTGGCTCTTTATGTCTTAAAGGTTGCAGACCCCTGGGATAGAGCGTCGGCCTGCAGATTGAAAGGCCCCGGGTTAGATTCCGGTCAAGGGCATGTACCTTGGTTGCGGGCACATCCCCAGTAGGGGGTATGTAGGAGGCAGCTGGTTGATGTTTCTCTCTCATCGATGTTTCTTGCTCTCTCTCTCTGTAAAATATCAATAGAATATATTTTTAAAAAGTAAACAATTTAAATGTTGGTTATTAACAGTTCCAATAAAATCATTCATGAGGAATAGCAATCTGTCTACAACACTAAATATTTCCACATCAGAAATAAGAAGAGAATGCTGCTAAAATGAAAATTCACTATTGGGTCACACAAGCTTCTAAAATCTTACCAGTCACTCATTAAAATGTGTTGTAGAGATTCATCATTTGACCAAGGGCTTGTTGCAGACATTTTCCGGTCAGCTCCAATCCGCGGGAACAGGGAGAGCCAGGGGAAGGCGGGGTGGAGCCAGTAGATGAGGCTCTGCTGGAAAGCACAGCGCAGCTCCGTGCAGAGCTTGGGGTCCTGAAAAGCAAGCAGTGCACAGGTCTGAGCCCAGAAAGATAACCTTTCATTAAAAAGACACTGAACACACCAAACACT